CGTAGTTCCTCAAAGGAGGTCACCTCACCCGCAGCGACACATCCAATTTGTGACGCAACGAAAATACTGTTTTGATTTCATCTGGCTGTTTGTATTATTTATTTTCATGACTTATTAATTTATGCGACACGTTACGAGCCACCAAATCAAACGGACGGGAGCATCTATTTTCATAATTAATAAGTCTGTTGCTGATTGGGTTTTTGATATTTGAACAACCTCTGCTCTGCTCTGCTCTGCTCTGCGCAGAAATGCAACAGATGCCAGATTGCCAAATTGCCAAATTCCGCCGACTTTAAACTGGAGCAACAAGCACGACATAAATAACTTTCATAATTTGTGTGTTGGCCATCCCGAAATTCGCTAAAAATGAGCAATTGTTTGTTTTATTTTGTAGTCATAGACTTGTTTATACAGAGAAAAGAGCCGATAAGTGGTGGTGGCCACACAAGGCGTGGTTTAAGTGCCGTTGCCAAGTCAACAACAAAGTCTTTTTGGAGGAGCAGATAAGGAGCCCTGCTAATCATTGGTTGCTCGTACTACCATTTAAACTTGAACTGAAATGTGATCCGAATACTTGGTGATACACCCCAGTCAAATATGATGAATAGGAAAATGCTACAATGAAAAACCTCTCTTCGGCTTTTGAGCAGGGAAACGCCACTCTCTCGTAGATTTCCAAGACGAAGAGCCAAACAGAAATTGAAGTGATGGAGCGATGTGTGGTAGAAATGCCTTCTGTACAAATTTATGAGTCAGCAATGTCTTAAATAGAAAATATTAGTGTTATATTCCCAGAATTCAAAGTAGATAAAACTGCATGCAAATGTAATGTACAGTGTTATATATAGTATAACCTCTTGTAAATATTTGCTTAATAATTCAACAGAGATCTACGCAATATTCCTAGCTTTTGGGCATACAAAGAGCATCATGCCTCAGAGAGATAAAGAGTACGAGAGAGAGCAAAGGTAGACAGGCAGATAAGCAGACAGAAATTCAGAAATTTCTTCACTCAGAACTGTGAGGTCTGTTGGGATTATGCTAAGTATAGCATCAAATACATTCACACCTTTTGACCGCACGCTCTCTTTTTCTGTGTTTGCGGGCCTCTTTGATTTGTGGAATTTTTTTTCACAGTATACATCTACTCATAGCTCTAGTATAAACATTTATAGCGCGATTTGTTGTTGTCTAATCAACGAACACGTGCTAAGTAATGTGATAAGAATAGTAGGTACTACAGCGTGATTCAAATTCGAGTGGAGGAAAGAAATTTCGCTCGTCTTGCTCTCTGGATATGAGAGAGCAATCCAATGAGCGACAACGATCAATCTGCCAAATAAAACCATCGCAAATATGCGATAAGGATATAATAAAATAGAGTTAATTTCAAGAGCAGAGAAATAGCCCAAATGAAGTGTTGTTTAATGGTTATTGATAAGAAACTGAATTAAACTTTCTTTATGTGGCTTTCATCATCATCAAAGAAAAAAAAACTGAACCGTTCGTGACAAATGGTCTCTGTCATGGTTGGTGTATTGCTGCAGTAGGAGAATAAGGAATGAACAAAACTGCAAAAGGGGAAACAAATAGACCAAGAAATTGATAAGTATATTTATTTAAATGGAATATCCAATGCCTACACATTTTATCTGCAATCTGTGTTTACTCACACACTTGCTCTGATTTGATTACAGTTTACTTTATTAAGAATGCGAGAATTAACCCCAATTGTTATGCGTGGGGTGTACTTTGGGGTGTCGTAAGCGTAAACGTGGGCTAATTGCCGTTCGGCCTAATTGTGCTTCTCGCTCGACAATTAATTTGACAATGAAAAAGAGTCGTTGCTAATCTTTTACTCTGCTGTGAACCATTTTAATATAGGTGAAGAAAATCATATCAAAGGGGCGGCACTGAAATACTTTTGGGTTTAATTACCATCCGTCCGTTTGTAGAAATCGTCCATCTGTCCAGAGATTTAATCTTTTTCGAGGCAAAAAAAAAACCACTTAAAAAGATTGCTGGGATACAGAATGCTTACATTTGGTTGGACATTTCTTGGAGATCTTTTGTAAATTAGTTTTATTTAATCAATTGACGAAGCACTTAAAATCATGTAAAAACTCTATACAACGAGTAACTCTTCTATACGAAATAATGGATGACGGAATTATGAAATTAAGAATGGAATTCCAATGAAAAATATTATCGTAATTACATTTTTTCTTTCCCCATTTATCACATTAAAGGAACAACAAAAGTTGGGCGGGGGGGGGTCAAGTATTAAAGGTTATTCGAGTAACAAAAATTTCTTCAAATTTCCAGGGATAATAAGAGTGTTTCTTGGAAAATCTCTAGTTTCAATTAAAACCGAAACAATGTGAGTCTGTACCCCCTCGAACAATCGAAAGTGAGAATTCAACGAAATAAATCATAATTACAATTGTTTTTCATTTATCAAATGAAAGACAATGAACAATACAAGTTCAGGGGTTAAGTGTGCTTGAGGTTAAACCCTTTATAAAATTTCTTTGAAGTCTTTTATAAGAGTCTCTAAGCCTCAATTAAAACCGAATCAAGAGGGAATCCCAAATAATTGAAAGTGAGAACTGAACAGATCATCATTATTATTATCATTTATCAAATTAAAGAACAATAAAAATAGCCGATCATCAAAACATTTCTTCTGGAAACCGAATACAAGATACGAATTTCCTATTTCTTGTTCTGTTTTGTGGCAATTTCTTCAAAGTTTCAACATTTGTTCCCCTTTTTTCGGGGATTTTGTTTCGTCTTGTAACCCAATTATTATCCACAGCTTCCCCTTGCCCACAATGAAACGACTTCTTTGAACGCATCAGCATCATTAGATAAGAGCGCGCTTTTGATACAAAAATGTTAATCGCATTTTTCCAATCGCACAACCGAACAACCGAAAACAACGATGCAGTTGAACTCATTTTTCATTTCGTTTTCAGATCGGACTACTCTGCTAATAAATAATGGACAAAACTAAAAAGAAATGAAATTGTATAATGAACGAACGTCTGAGAGTCTGAAAGACTGAGACTGAGACTGGGAGCCGACCCGCAAGAGTTGGCGGAGAGTTTCTTAAGGTCAAACAATTTTTCATGCAACACCTTGAGAATCAGCGAGGCACCTACAATACTATACAACACCCTCCCAAAAGGCGCAAGCCGGCGGCTCTCAAGAAACCAGTTTCTTAGTTTCAGGCGTACGCCCGCCGCTGGCTTTAATTGGTAATGGGTAGCTAGGGGGAATGAATGGCTGAGAGGTGTGCTAGTGCTGATGTTGATGGTCGTTCGGGGTCCGCCGTCAATGGGCCAAAGCAGTAGCCCACTAGGCGGTAGCGGGTGCCGTATAATTGGCCGGAAAGTAATGTTGACGTTGGCGACTCTTTGCAATAAAAGCTTGGCCATAAACTCGATTCCCAAGCCAAAAGTTCTTGGACTGGGTGCTCGGCGCCCTCTTCCCAAGAAGCACAGCACACGTGCAGGCAGGCACCTATAATGTTGGCTTGTGGCACGCAATGTGGCAGAATGTTAAGAATAGCAAATAGCTCACACACACAACAATATTTACAATGGAAAAATCACGAAAAGGAAAAGCACTTCAAGTAAATGTGTGGCAAGACCATTTTTGGATACACTTTGCGCGAAATTCAGGTACAGGAAATAGGGGGGGAAAAGTAGATATAAGAGTTTCATATTCAGGTGTTCATTCTGATAAAGTAAACCGACAATATTTGCTAGTAAAAGAAAGCAAAAGAAAAATGTATATCAAAAATAAATGAGACGATGTCTTTTAGAAATGAAAGCAAATAGAAACAACATTATGATGTCCGATGATAAGAACCCAAAAAACAACACAATCTCTGAAGAAACAAAAAAAATTATGAAAGGCTATATTCGGGGGCTGTAGCTTTAGATACCTTTGGAGAGAGAGAGAGAGAGAGAGTGATCGTTCCTGTACCCAATCAGAAATTCTCCTCGAACAGGAGAGGAATGTGATAGGATTTTCTCTCAAGCCAAAAGAGTGAAAAGCGTCGAGTGTTCATTTCGTTTTGAGTCAATTGTGCCTGGGGTGCTGCCTCTGTGTATGTTCGGGAATGCAGCGCAGAACTTTCTCTCTTTTATTAATTTTATTAATCGCCTTCCACACCTCTTTCTTTGGGCACTCATAAACAAATTAGTATTCAAATGGGGGGAACCCTTATTTACGATCATTAAAATTTATGGCTGTTGTCGGTTTAAAAGGTCAGCCAAAAGATCATACATATGGTATATACATACATATAAGACTATCAAATATATGGACCATATCCGAATCAGATACGAACCATCAGGGTAGTGCTCTTCTTATCTATATGGAGGGTAGTAAAATCCCAAAGCAAATAAATGAAATGATATTCCCGGACCTTGATTACGATAAGATAGGAGATTATCTAAGCCCTGATATACGGATGTTACTACGTCTGTATCTATTTATTCATTGTATTTTATATTAATTTTTGGCTGTACTGCTGCCAACGGAACAAAAGCTTTCCCCATTTACTCTTAATTAAGGCTTATGCTACACGATCACTTTTTCACCGAAGGACGGGTATTTCCTTGATGGAATGCTCATCGAGGTTTTGCCGTCGGTGAAGTCATCTACTGCGAAAGTTTATTTTTGCTCAAGAAGAGCTTCGGGGTAAAACGTGTTGTTTGCACACCGTGTGTATGTATTATTTATTATTTATATTGCTCTTTCCTTCGCTTTGTTTTGTGCAAATGTCCAGACAATTTAATTTATTTCCCTGCATTAAGGACAAATAAGAGATGAGAGAGGGAGAGAGGCCAACGGTACTTCAAACTAAATGAGTCCGACACGTGTGTGTGTGCAATAAATCACATTAAAAATTAAACGCAAAGAACAACAGCCGAGTGAGTGCGTGAGCGACCAAGAATAAGAGATATTTGATAAGAGCTACTTACATTGAGCATCCAGATGATCATCTCCTCGAGGACAATGTCCATGCTGCTGTGGGCACCGCTCAGAGCGTAGTCTACGGGATTACCGTTGGTGCGATCCCCCAGAGAGGGGGCTGAGGTGGTATCGCGGCGTCGCATCGTAGATGTGCCTGTGGCTGTGTGTGTCTCCATATCTGTGGAGGTTGCTGTGGAGGATATGGTTGGTTTGTCGGCCCCAAAGAGGCTAAGCAGCTCCAGATCCCGTTTGCAGCAGCATCGGCATAGGCGGGGCATTTCCAGCAAACCCCCTGCGACGTCATCGTCTGCCGGCAGAGAAAGTTGCGCCGCCGATTGCTGCTTTTCCGACGACCAGCTATTGCTGCGTCTTCTGACTCTGCTGCTGTTGGCACTCATCCCGGCGCTATTTCGGGTTTTGTTTTGTAGAATAGAATTAATTAACTTTTTATCGACCGCAGAATTGCAGTGGATTTGTGTTGGCTCGGCTCTTTCACTTGGCCGAATCTCAATAAAATTTTTTTTCACTTCACACACTATAAAATGCCTTTTTCTGGCTATTTCTTATCTGTTTTATTTGCTTTTGGCGCTTTCGTTTTGACCACGAGTCGGAGACCTAAAAAAAAAACCAGAACAGGCCAGAAAGAAACATGTAAGAGAGCAGATTTGGTAAGAGACCTTTCGCGCGCCGTACTCGCCTATGTGTGTGTGTGCGTGCGTGTGTGTGAGCCAGTTTCTTTTAGTAGGCCAGCAAGAATCGTACGCCGAATACCAATCAGAATGAGAAATCCACGGAAAATGATGATGCCCTTGTGGGGATATCAACTATAAACAGACATCCCTCCCTCTCCACACGAAAGGTATTTTCTAGCCTTTTTTAAACGGACAGGGCCGCATGCAACGCGTTAAAAAAACAAACAACTAGAAAGAAAAGAGGCCGAAAGTGTCTCCCCTTCTCTCTCTCTGTTTCTTTGATCAAAAATTATTTTTGGCGGCGGCATTTGCGTGTCATCTCCCCAATCGGAGGGTGGCACTCACACACACAGACGCGCAGTTAAATGAATGAATTGTTGAATTCTAATTCACACACAAATTCACTTAATAGATTTTATTTTATTAGATTTTATTTATTTTTTTTTTTTGATATATTTTTGGTGAATTTTTGTACGGAAATACAACGGATATTTTTGTGGGATTTATCAACTTTACCGCCGTACGCTTTTCTGAATTCAGAAAATTCACACGATTCTGTTGTTTACTTGGCCGCGGTTCATTCAATTTTGGGGGGCGACAAGGCCGTTTTCAAATACGCCCGCCGTCAGATGTTGCTGGGGCCTAAAAATGTTGCTCGGCAACAAAAGCGTGTTGCTGAGAAAAAAAAGGGGTATGGACAACAGGCTAATCGGACCAGAAAATTCAAGGCATGCTGGTAAAATCCACCCCAATTTGCAACATAGCCTGATTTCTTTACAATCACAGCACATTGTTGTTGAGGTGAGGTGCTTTGCCGACAAAAAGGTAGAGCAACTAAATAATGTACGGCAATCTACTCTTCAGTTTTTCTCTCTTTTTTTTGCTTCCAACTTGAACTCAATATTGTGAAGAATATATTCGAACTGTGGGAGTAAATTCAAATATTGAAGATTTAGTTCTCCAAACTTCACACAAAGTTCTCGAACCTTAGGCAAGCCCGTACCTTCTGAATTACAATACCATGGAGTCAGCTGTTATACGAAAATGGCAAAATAAAGGCAAAAAAAGGAAGGAAAAACGGCGAATAACTGGTGGCATTAATAAATTTGCGTGGCCCTTGCGCTCTGAAATGCCCTGAGATGCATGAGAATGCAGGCGGCAGCACGCACTGTTATTGTTTCACTCATGCTTTGATTTTGCGCTTCGCTATGTTTTGGCTCTGTTGCTTTGCGTGTCTATCCGTAGTCCCAAAAAAGGGTTTCAATGGAACCTTCGAGAAGGAAGTTTTTGGCACACATTACACAGCCGCGCGCACACACAAAACTAAATATATCCATATTATTTATAAAGAACCACGTTCATATTTCACATAATTCGCAGTGCAGCGCGCTATTTTTACTTACATTTTTACCGAGATAACGCCGCCAGCTTGGCCGGCGGCACAGTTTACTTCGCCCATGCAACAATAATTTTATATTTTCTTTCACGTCACGATAAAAACAACAAATTAGGCACTTATTGTGAAAATTAATGTAGTTTTTGGTCTAATCTAATATGCTTTTACAGTTTTTTTTCCCCCCCGTTTTAGAGGTGTCAAACCAACAAGGGCACTATCGATAGTATCGATATTTTGCTGCTAGCCTCTACTATCGATGGTTTTGAGACTAGTATCGAGCTACAGTCGCTGCGCTTTTAATATGTTTGTATTGGCTGCTATAAAATACGAAGACAAATTTTTTAACAAATCGACAGGTGGCATCTAACTTTTACAATGGACAAGTTCCTAAGAGGTTTCAATGGTTTTTTAATAATTATGTGAGCCCGATACTATTACCATAGTATCGATTGTTTTCTCCAAAACATTCAAAGTTGATATTCCTCGATTTTGATATTCCGTTTAATATTACTAGCTAGCTGGGACTCTCAGCCCTAAACAAATAATTTTATCCGATAGATACATACATTTTCTACCAGATTGGCAAGTTTTCAGAAGTCCTTTTTATTGGACTATTTACATATTAAGGTTCAATTAAAAACAACATAAAACGAATGTGACGTCGTTTCGTGGCGCTGCCAGACTCGTGAAATTCGTAGTTGCTGCAGGCTGCCATACCATGATATTTTGTTATATGAAATTCGTCAATTTTGATATTCAGTTTAATATTATTAGATAGTTGGCCCTCTCAGCCCTAAAAAAATAATTTTATCCAATTCCTCAATGAATTTTGTTTAGGATTGGCTAGTTTTCAGAACTATTTTTAATGGGATTGTTTAGAATGGAATGGAATGACGCAACAATGAATCTTCATCTGCGTTTAAATTGTGAGCCACTATCGATAGTATCGATATTTGACTGCTATCCGCTACCATCGACGGTTTTGCGACTATCATGATAGTATCGAGCTACAGTAGTTGCGCTTTTGATATTTGATATGTTTGGATTGGCTGCTCTAAAATACAATTCCTCAATAAATTTTGTTCAGGATTGGCTAGTTTTCAGAACTCTTTTTATTTGGATTGCTTAAAACAAACAAAATCATAACATAAAACGAAATGTGACGTCATTAGTGCTGGTTAACCAGGTTTCTGCTAAGAGTGTAGAAATTTGTATACCCTAGTTCCCATAAAAATTGTTCATGCATTTGAAATGTTTTCTGTATATGGCTGATGTGGCTGAGGCTGATTTGGATATTGTAGAGATTACCGCCGCAACATAAATGATGAATGGGCAGAGTGGGTGGGAGTGGGCGTGAGAAATAGATAAAATATAAAAATAAAAGCTGTTATTTGTTTAATTTAACAGAAATTGGGGACCTAGAACCGAACATTCACATCTATATACGTTATAGCCTTTTTACACTGGGCGCATTATTGGATTTTTTCGTTAAATGGAACATGGTCACACCACAGCCAGCTAGAAGAATATATTGCACTGGTATTAGTAACTGCATGTATCAGCTAAAGTGTATATCGATATATCGTTATATCAATATATTTTTCACATCCATCCCATCCCTATTGGGCAGCAAAATCTACGTGGAGCACAGCAATATTTCTGAAATTATGGAAAACAAACTGGAAAAGCAAGAGGAGCGGGCCAACGATTGGGATCAGAGTGATGAAGATGACAATTGGGATGACTGGGGCGATGACGATGATAAGTTTGTGCACGTGGAGAAGGAGCAACAGCAGGAAAACACTGACGGAAGAAACAACAACAACGCAATAAGAAAAGAGGAGAAACCACTGGACCTGGAGATGCGAACACCGCAGGGCGGAGACACAGCTGCTGCTCAAGAACCCTCCTCATCTTCGTCGTGGGGCCTGTGGGGGGGTAAACTGAGCTCTGTCCTCAGCACAGCCACCGAGGGATTGGGAAATATAACCACACAAGTGAACCAGGGCCTCAGTCAGATTATAGGAGTACCCGATCCCGAGGAGCTGGCACGTATCAATGCCGCAGAAAAGACCAAAGAGGAGACGCCGGTCGTCAGTCCAAAGGAAACACCAGCAGCGACACCAGTCGATCCCAATCAGGAGAATGCATTTGGCCTCGGTTTCGTCACGAATCTGGGTTCCAAAGTCCTTAACACGGGACTGGACACCCTCGAGGGCATTGGCAAGAAAACCATGACCATACTGCAGGACAATGATCCCAAGTTGATGAACAAAAGGAAGCTCCTTGGTCTGGAGGCCAACAAACCCAATTTGAGTGCATTGCTGCTGGAGGCCAAAAAGGATGCGGATCAAATGGAGGAATCACTGATGCAGCTCCAGTTGGAGAAGAAAAAGGCGCAACTACGCTTTGAGATACTCTTCGAGAACTACTGCGGTCTGGTGCACTACGAGGCATTGGAAATCCTGTCCAAAGAGTCGCGCCTGAAACTTGACACGCTCTTGGATGCAGTCAGTGGCAATGCTCTGGCCGATCTGCAGGAGACCATTAACGAGGTGAAGGAACTGCTGGAACTGGAGGATCTGGAGTGCGAGAGCGAAGGCGACTATGAGCCCGAGGAGCTCGGCGAGCGTCTGTTGGCCACCATAGCAGATGCCGAACTGGGAATTCAGTTCGAAGAGGTGGCAAAGTGAGTATCTGTCTGGTTATGTCCAAGGGAAAGCTTTGACTAAACTATTTTTGTTCTCCAGCCACTGGAAGCAGTCGCTGACTTGGCTACAGTCGGAAGAGGCCACCGCATCCGATCTGGAGCAGGCCTATGCCAAGAGCATACACGCCCTGAGCGAAGCCTGTGCGTTGGAAATGTGTAAGCTGCACAAGATTGCCGAACTGCTGCTGGTGAAGCAGCATCACAGCACCGCCAATGAGGTCGACGGCATTGTCAATCTCTGCAAGCAATGCAATGGCCATCTACAGGGTCTGAGCCACCGCTATGCGGGTTTACTGAGCAGCAAGGGTGCTTCTTCCCCCGACACTGCAGAGGAGTCCAAGGAGCGGGTCAACACATTCTTTGCCGAAATGTTTGCCGCCGTGCAATACATTGAGCAGGCGTACAAGCTTTTTACGCCCATTTTGCAAATGGGTGCGGTCTAGGGGAGGGTAGATTCCGATTATTTTGATCTATGAATTTTATATTTGTTGTAATTGATACGATTATTTATAGCATTGTTTTGGTTAATCTCTCTGTAAGTCTTAATTGTTTTCCATAAACTACTATAAATGTACACAAATTTTGAATCTACAGAGTATGCGGATTATTGTGATAACACATTCCAAGAAAGCGCAAATTTCTTTTATAAATTAGATGGATTATGATAGTAGGAATAATTTATTAGATCATTTTAGATCTAAAAAAAAGGGTTTTTGCTCCCTATGTACATACTATTTTTAGAATACACTTTTTTAGCATCATGAATGCTATGATTATTTTCAAACAGATCCCACACCTGAAAGCCATACAATTCGTTACAATTCAAACAAACAACAAATCGACTCTGTTCCCAAACAAAAATCAACATTTATTTGAAGTTCTAAAAATTAGTTTCCTACCATGGCTGATCGCCAAAAACGAGAAGTTACCTTATTGAAGGGCCATTCCGCGGACTATGAGTGTAGCCAAGCATTGCGTCAGAATAATTTGAATCCCATTTACATACCGCCATCGCAAGTTGTTATGAAGAACCTGGATGTGTTGAAGGCCAAACTTGAGGAGCCGCACAGATATGCCGGAATCATCTTTTCCGGAACGCGCAGTGTCCAGGCCGTGTACCAAGCATTGGGCAATGGTATGATGCCTAGTTGTTGGCGTGCCCTGCATAACTATGCCTTGGGCGGGAATACCCATAGCAGTGCATACATGAGTCTTCGGAACTTGCCGACTCTTGGGGATCGTGCGGTGAGTGCCCACAATCTATGTGATCTGATTGTGGAAACCATTGGACCGAAGAGGGATTTGCCACTGCTACTGCCCTGCGGGAATGAGGCTAGTAATACTCTGCGTGTTCGACTGGTGGCACAGGGATTTCGTGTGGATGCCTGTGAGGTGTACGAAAATCAAATCCATCCGAATTTTAAAGACGATATGAAAAAGGCCCTCAAGTCCAAGCACCTGGAGACAATAGTCTTCTACAGTCTGGCTAGCGTGAAGAGTGCCTTGGAGTTTTTCGGCAAATATAAGGTTTCTGTTAGCGACCGAAAACTGATTGCTGTTGGGGCCGCTGCTCAAAAGGCCATGATGGAGGCAAAACTTCCTGTGAGCGCTGTGGTGGATTCCAATAGCGTGGATCAGTTGATCAATGCCATCAAACACTAATTTATATGTGAAACTGTTAGCACATTTTATATAAATTTTTAATTTTTTAATTGTTTTCCTGGTATATGTACAAGCATACTCGAAATTTTGTTGATGTATTTCAGCGTAAATTATAATAAAAAAGATAATTTAAACTAATTTAAAAAAAAATGCCGTTAGATTTGAAATACCGATTTATTTGGTCATTTAGTGTGGTGTGGCAGCACTATCATTAACCCTTACGATGTGCTGCTTATGTATTAATACTATGCGACCTGTAAATGAAGAAATTATATATAGTCACGTGACCTACTGTTTACGTATTTAATTTTAATTATAAACTTGTAATAGAAACATCATAATTAATAAAAGTTAGACACACATTTCTGTTAAATTACCTTCATTCTGGTCCTCATAGTGAATAGAGGACTGCTGCGCCTCTAAGGGTTAAAATTAATAGAGCTGGCCATCACTATGGCATCGCACTATTATTCTGCCGTAGTAGGTTTTATATTTTTGTCGTTGCTGGCGCTTCAAGTCAGCACTTGTGTATCCCAAACCCAAATATATTCAAACGAAACAACAATGGCAGCATCTGCAGTCGCCAAACCACTGTTTGCCTGCAATTTTGAGGTTTTTGGACGCGTACAAGGTATTTCTCGCGACCTGGTTTCACCGAACATGATCTAATTAATTTCTCTTGCCATTTTAGGTGTTTTCTTCCGCAAGGTAAGTGATGAATGGTTCAACTGGCCAACTGACTGATCAGCGGGATCAATGTCACCTTCTGTAGCACACGGAGCGCCAGGCAAACAGTCTGGGCGTAAGAGGTTGGTGCATGAACACCAGAGAGGGATCTGTTAAGGGCCAATTGGAGGCGCCGCTTGCCCAGCTGAACGAAATGTAATGCAGGTTTTTGGATTGGTATTACCTGTCTGAAGGTGCTAACTTTAGTGTCCTGACACCAATTGTTTGCAGGAAACATTGGCTAGAGACGAAAGGGAGTCCATCGTCCATTATCGACAAGGCAACATTTACGGCGGCCAAGGAAATTCCCGACTATACTTTCAGTGGCTTTTCCATCAAGCGTTAGATCCCAAATCAAGTTGCAAGCTAAACACTTAGTTTATTTTTGCTATATTTAGAGTTCCTTAAACTATTTATTGCAATGTGTGTGCATGGACCTAAGTATCCTATCCTCCAGTAGACACAATTTCAAATTGAACATCATATAACGGCCTCTCTCGTCATCCAGAAGTGCTTCAGCCCTAAGCAGCAGTTTCAGTCATACGGTTCGAACGAGCGTCTGAAAAAAAACAATGCAATTTTAACAATATTATTGTAAAAAAAAACACAAACCAAACTAAATACAAATCGAGAGAAGAAGTCACAGGGTTGCCTTTAAAGAGTAGTTAAACAGTTAGTGTTGCCACATGACAAAAAGTACCGATAGGTATTAGATTCAAACGACATCTCGCTCGCACGCACGAAACTACTCGTACGCACTTGCTATGGCTGCGATATAGGTTAGAGCGGCACGACCGGTTGTTTGGCATGCGTACTTTGCTCTGGCAGGGCACAACCGAGTACAGCTTCGATACACGTCGTGCAAAAGCGTAGCAGGGCAGCGATGAAAAAAAAATAAATGAGGAAAAAATTGTGTGAAGCGAGAACAAGCCAAGCGCGAACCACGCCATTGTATAAGAAAAAATCCAACAATTGTGTGTGCATCGTAAAAAACCGTTAAATTGTGCGTACAACAAAAAAATACTACCTAAATTTTAAGCAATTTACAAATTCTTGCGTGCTTCTGCTTCCGTCGGTAAATGTGTGTGTGTGTATGCCTGTGTGTGTGAGTGCTTGGACAATACTTTCGCGCTGAAAACGTTTTTCTACTCCACTCTACTCCCTTTTTTTCGGCTGAATTCTAATCGTTTCAAACAGCAACAAATCAAAAAGATTACAACTAATTAAGCATTTGTAGAGCATTTAGTGATTGTGAGTTGTATTAAAAAGAAAAATTGGATTGTGTAAATAACTGAAAATAGTGGAACATTTCTAGACTCACCTCACACACACACACTCATAAGCGCGGACCCATCTTTGTATTTGTTTGCGTGTGCATGCATATTTTTTAGTCTGCGGGTGTGTGTGCTGTAAAGGCGCGAGGTGCTGTGCTGTTTGCCCACTAATTGTAACTCAAAAGAAATTCAATAAACGAAATTATATAAAAACATGGAATGGAAGCCAAAACAGCATCGCCCAGCACCATGCGCAGAAACTGAATGCATTCTGTCCGTGCGTTTCTCAAGCATGATTCAATGTTGTAGGAAAATTGTGATTTTCATCTGGATTTCGTCAGTATGCAAAGATGTGTGCGTCTGTCTGTCTTTCTTTTTTTATTGCGCATCATTGTGAATGAGCAATAGCAATAGCGCGCATTCTGGCTGTCCGCACGCTCGCGCGCTCAGTATCTCTCTTGCAAGTATTTGTGCTCTCACTATGCGCTTGTGTGTGTGTGTGTGTGTGTCCCTAGAGTGGTGTGGGTATTTTGTACATAACACGCCGGAAAAGACACATTTTTACTCCCAAGAGCCGGAGTGGGAGAGGGAGAGGCGGCCTATTGAGATAATAAAATATTGGGTATATATTAAACAAATGCAAGCGGCTTTTGATTTAACAGTAATTGGACAGGATTTAGTATGATTTTACAGTTAACGCAGCATGCGCTGTCAGTGTGTGTGTTGGTGTGATTTTATATGTATTTGAGAACGAGAAGTGTGCTCTGCATTTTCCATACAAATATTTAATTTTAATATTACTTGTATTGTTTTTCCAAAAGCGAGTTGTCGTCGAATCGGAACGTACCTGCAACGGAAGATCCGGTAGCAAATTCAAAAGCGAATTGGGAAACGTTGTGCGAGGCCCTTGGTTACTACTAGAGCACTATTCGGGACGTGTTGAACCGATGCGAATGCATCACCATCACCAGGAGAAGCAGCTGAACTGGCCAACGGTATCGAAACTACTATGGCACCAGCGCTCACTGCCGAGCAATTAAGTACCAAGGAGAAGATAACTAGCGTCGCATCGCCTTCGGTGGTGGTAAAGAAACCAGCTACGCCCACGCCGGCAACGGCCACAACGCGTGTGACGCGCTCCTCCAAGGAGGCGGCCGCGACAGCAGCAGCAGCTGCCAAGGCTGCGGCTGTAGTCCTTCCGCAACGCAATCCATCGAGCAGAATCAGCAACAAGCGTAAATTAAGCGGCGGTAACAACAGCAGCAGCAGCAACAAGCAACAAAATAATGATCCAATGGGCCTAAGCACAGCTCCCACCCCACACACAACAACAACAACGAGCACAGGATCAGTGGTCGCAGAGGCAGAAGCAGCAACAGGAGCAGGCGTACCACCCATCATTGACGCCGCTGTGGCATCAACCAGTGCTACGGGGCTCCTTGAAAGCCAATCGGCTGTTCTCCAACAAAGCGAATCCACCCCAAGCACCGATGTGTCGCCTGCAGCGGATACCATCGAGCACAACAACAACAATAGTAGCAGTAGCAGTCCCAGCAAAGACGACAACTCTACGGCCCAGCTGCTGGCAGATCTGAACAGCGACTTTGTAGAGACCATCTCGGCGGAGATCTGTCTGCGCAAGACCCTACCCGAAGTGGGTCTCAGCAAGGAGCCGACACCATCCGCAGTGGCCCCAACAGAAGCAGAGGCAGCCGAAGCAGTAGCAGAAACTATAGCTGAAGTTGAAGTTGAAGCAGGAGCAGAAGCAGAAGTATCTGAAGGGAAATTCACAACGGGTGTGTCAGTGCCACCACAAATCGATCTGCTTCAGTCGATGGAATTGGAGCAACCAGCGACGACGAATTCGCCCTCAGAGGAGCTGCCAAAGATCGATACGGATAATATAGAGGGTAAGTCAGAAGAAAAACGAAAAAGAAACGAGAGAGCACTTTTCACTCATACTCCTCTTTCTCTACTTTCGCAGAGCGTCTCAGTCAGCTGGATGGCAATGCCAGTGCCATTTTGGTGGATCTGCCTCCGGTGCAGCTGGAGCACGATCAGGTGCAGGTGGAGGTTGTGATTTCAACCACACCCACAACGCCCAGCCGGCAACAGGTGCAACAGGATCCAAGATCCGAGCCATTGCCCGCTATCTTGGCCTCGCCGCTGCCGGGCCAGAGGCAATCCACAGCTACGTCAGCATTGAACGCGTCACAGTTGACGCCTCAGAGTACTTCCAGTTCTACAAATTTCCTCAAAGATGCAACAGCCGGCGTTGTGCTGGAGGACCCCGACATCGAAGAGGTCCTCAAGGCCCTGAAAACGTTTGAGGGAAATCACGTCATCAATCCGGACATCAATACGGACATGTGTGATTTCAATTTCTTCAACGAGGTGTGGGAGGAGCCGCAGTCAGCGACAGCGATCCAGCAACGATCCGTCACTCCACAGTATCCGCCGAATTCCATTGGCGGCACCATCGGCAGTAGCAGCGTCATCAGCCCCCATGTCCCACCGGCAGAAACGATGGCCGAGTGTCAGAGGTCAATGGAGCAGCAGCATCAAATTGTCACACGAAAGATAGACCATCTGATCCGGCGCATGAGGAAGTTCCAGGCGCGCTATATGTGCAGCCACACCAGCGAGGAGGTGGCCGGCATTATGGAATGGTCCGCTCGCACCTCGCACAAGACGCCGAATCCCGTGAGAAGTGATATGCTCAGCGAGCAGGAGGCCACCGTGCAGTCGATCGTCTCCGGGCGACCGAGGCCGGACTTTTGGGAAGAGAAAAAGAAGCATCCCGTGCCAGCCACCCAAATGGTCAGCATCCTTCGTAGCATTGCAACGGCTGCACGGCACCAGCAGATCTGTCATACGCCCAGCGGCAGTTCCGCCACCTTGGCCCCATCTTCCACATGGTACAGCAGTGCCAGCAGTGCGGCGGCAGTGCCTGCCAAGGCACGTCGTGGCAAGAATCAGCTGGACACATCAGCAACAGCGGCCTCCACATCAACAGCAGCAACAGCCATGGAGCAGAAAACGCCTGGTTTGCATGAGATTATACCCTGCTTTGACACACATATAACCAACGAGCTGACCCACGTCTCCGGGCTGCTGCACAATGAGATGCGGGAGATACAGAATGCCATCGATTCGGATGCGACAGAGTCGAGCTCTGGCGGCGAGTCTGCCGACGAGATGGTCATCTACAATAATACCCAACAGAAGTCGCTGACGATGTAAGTACACTCCCTTCTCCTCCTTCCATTTCCTGCTGCCTTTGGGTATGGATTCTGTGGGAGATATTTCCCGCTTTCAAAATACTTTCAATTGTGAATGTTTCAATTTGTTTACGTGTCAGACGTGTTTTTGCTCATACCAGAGAATTTAATGATTTCCATGACTTTAATGCTAATACAGCTAATACCATTTCTGGCAGCGACAGATGTTGAAAATGAGTTGTAGAAGAGGGGGACCCAACGTGAATATAGTTTAGTTATCCCCAATTAATCTGAGAGTCTACCTAGTTTATTCTTATATTTTGGGATCTCTAAATAAAAGAACATTCTCTTTGTCTTTTGGAGGGTACAACTTCTTAAAGATAAGAAGATACAGGAACAGAGTTCCAACAACTTTATCTGGTAGATATCAACAGAGAAACAGAGCCTACCACTTCAGTATCATCACGTATGCCCCCTGTTTTTTTTTTTTTTTTTTTAATAATTTAAATGGTTTTACGACTCACCCACTCATCAATGGGCTGCCAATACGCTTCCAGAACAGATTGTAGGCGCGTGCACTGAGAAAAGAATTCAGAAATATCTGTAAATATCTATAGATCACAAAACGTTCTTAAAAAATCTAAAAAAAAAGACTACTTTGATTGGGTAGGGGTATGAATCGTACATATATGTATTCCCCCACTAATTTGCATCTGTGGCATCTTTTAGCGCCCGTCGAGCCGTGTGGACGTACTCCAAAGATCGAGCAAGTATTGCACTGCGCTGGTCCTGGCTCTGCTCACAAATGGCCGATCTGGAGGGCAGGAAACGCCAGTATCGTGATCTTTATATGGATTTGAATCAAGCAAAGGGCGCCGTGGAGCTGGAACCGATGCAGGTACAGCAGCCGGCGAATGGCTACAAGGAGGAGCCATCCAGCGAATTGCAATGCTGCCGCGCCCGGCCCCTGATGCTGTCCAAGTTTCGGAAACGCAGCCTATTCCAGACCACGGGCATTCACACGATTTCCAAGAAGGCCGCACGCCCCAGCAACATCAAATGCGGCTGCCAGTGGCCACAGATACCGTGTGCCCTGTGCACGGGCCGACCAGATCCGACAGCACCACGGGAATTGGCCGAAATGATGATGCCGGCAAATCGAGTGGCGCTCCTCGATCCGGGCTACCATCCAGTGCTCAGTTTTGACACGGGTATGCAGTGCTGTACTTGAATCGGTTGAAAATCATTAATAATCCTATCTTTGTTTTCCCTTTACCCAGATGTCACACAATCTGTGCATTTTGAGTCCATTAGCCGGCAAGCGGACTGGCAGCATCGCGTGTCTCGCTTGCAGGCCAAGACCGTTGTCAAGGGTGTTTATAAGTCGGAACGCGAGGCCATTGCTGCTAGCAACAGTGCTGCTCGTCGTCCCGGCGATCTGATCAAGCGTCGCTATATACGACGCAAAGAGCGCAACAACAATAATAATAATAATAATTCAAACTCAAATAAAGATGCCGCCACAACAACGGCAGCGATGGCGACGGGTCTAGGCGATAGCGGAAATGGTACAGCAACTTCTACTTCTTCTACGCCTTCTACAACGCCACTTGTGGCCAACAGTAAATTATTGTAAACATGACAAACATTCGATATTTGTTATTAACATACAACAACAACAATCTTTTGCATCTCTTCTTCTGTTTCTTTCCATCCAAACAACAACAACAACAACCTCAACACGAAACCGAACCAAAAAAAAAATCTGCAAAATCCGAACCGAACCGAAACCACCGATCCTTCCTCCAAATCACCAACCAACCAACCAACCACCAATCACCATATACAACATCATCAAATTGTTTATTATTGCCCTTCGTTTCTCTCGTATCGTATGGGGATGCAGCAGCTGCGAGCAGGAAACAGCAGCAGACACAGCCACCAACTGGAATGAACCGTTCGAGCACATCGTGGCCCGACTCTCGCCAACGCCAACGACAGCGCCACCACAGTCCCTCCTCAGCAGCAACAGCATCTCAGATCTCGAACAGCGACACTAAGCGGCGTCGCATATCCAAAAACAGCAGCAACAGCAATTCCAACACATTAAACAACAGCCATCTAAATGGATATAGCGATCAAAGCGGAGTAGGAGGAGGAGTAGGAGGAGATCTGAGAAGTCGTAGCCGTAGCCGTCATGCCTCGCCCACGCACAATCAACGAACAGAGAGGTAGGGAAAAATGGATAGCATCTATAGCAAAGGATCAACAAACTAAAACTTGTGCCCCCATATCTTTCAGAACAACAGAGCGTCGTCATCGTCCCGTTTATGATATTGATAACATTGTTATACCCTATAGTATTGCGGCCCAAACGAAGGTGGAGATACTGCCCTACAAAGAGATACCCACACCCAAGTATGTCCCCAATATTTCCTCTCCCCTCTCTCTCTCTCTTTCGGTATGTAATCATTCTCATTCCATCTCTACTCTTGTATTGGTAGATGGCGCGTTGTTGATAGCGAGACTGATAAGAAGACACCCGTACAACCAGCAGCAGCAGCAGCATCATTATCCGATGACTCAAAAGCACCTCCACCACCACCACCACCAAAACCAACAGAGATGAAAGGCGGCGGGAATGGCATTGTGCCAGCGTTAGCAGCAGCAGCAGCAACATCATCCGCAGCAGTAGCGGCTCGTGTAGCGTTAATTGAGCAGAAGCCACAGCCACAGTCTGTGCCTGGGCAACCTTCGAAGGTGAATGGCTTGAAGAAGTTACAGCAGAAGACTAAGCAAAATATTAACAATAATAATAACAATGGACTGGTAAATGGTAATGTTAGAAGAGAGAAGGATGTCCTCCACCTTCCCGCGGAGGTTAGTGAGCAGAAGGATGTTGCCCCCCAGCTGGTGGATAGCGAGAAAAAGAAGGGTGTCCTCCAGGCGGAGGCGAATGACAGGAAGGAGGATATTCTGTCAGCAGTTGGCTTGGAGAACGATGTTCAGTCATCATTAGCCACTGATAAAAAAGATATCCAGTCATCAGTCAGCGACAAAAAGGACATTCAGTCAACCGCCAGCGACCCAAAGGACATTCAGTCATCAGTCAGCGACAAAAAGGACATTCAGTCAAACGCCAGCGACCCAAAGGACATCCTCCAGTCACAAGCCAGAAAAAAAAAAGCTTCCAGGGCTAAGAAAAAGGGCCTCAAGAGAAAGAAGCATAGGCACAATGGAAAAATAGCGAAGGCAACGGCTACTGCAACAAAAGAAGAAGCCGCCGCCACTGACACTGCCGCTGCCTCTTCCGCTACTGGTGGTGCAACAAAGGTCGAAGCTAAAGTCAAACCTCATTTGATTGAAGGCGTTCGAATAGCCACGGTGGAACCAATGGCCAAGCGGCCCAAATTACAGCTTGCCAAAGCCGGCGAGGGCGACAAACCCAAGACGAACGGCGGCCAACCGATTGCGCCAATCATACAATTGGATCCGGAGGATGACGAGGAGGATGAGGACACCTCCGACGAAGCGTACATTGTGCGACACCAGCTTGCCCTGATCGAAGAACGGCGACGCTTCGAGACTTATCTCAAGTTTCCGTGGAGCACGCGACCGCGTGCCAATCGCCGGGTGGACAGTCGCGCCGAATCGAGTGGCGCCAATACGCCGGACTCGGCCTCGCCAGCACCACATCTGGCTGGTTGTGGTGGGGGTGGAGTGGGGGACAACGAGAGCATACCCTCGCCGTTGGCCCATCCACTGGAGGGTTTTAACGAGAACGGGGAAATGGTGGGGGCCACGGCACGACCTCAGACACGTCGAAGGACCACGTCCAGCAAGCTAAAGGATCAGACGGAACGCCGCAGTGCCACGCCGGACATAAAAGATGTAAGTAGGAGAGGTCAGAGAGAGAGAGAGGAGCGAACAGCTTCTATAAGTTATATATTTTCCAAACACAGACATTTGTGGAGCCATCGCCGTTCGAGCCGCTTATCTTTCCCCTGTCCGAGGAGGTCTACCAAAAGATGCTGGCCGAGCGCTATGCCCCACCCAAGTATGAGGCACTGAAGCCTGAGGTGAAGCGCACCAAGAGCAAGTCCACATCCTCCAATGGCGATGGGGGATCATCGGGCGCCGGGAAGAGCAAACGCCGCAGCAGCAAGTCGAAGACCAAGCTAGTCAATGGCCAGTTCAATGGTCAGCTAAATGGCCATCAAACGGCGGATGCTGCAGAGGCGACGTCATCCACAGCGACTGCAGCAAAGATCAATGGTGGCGGCGTTGGCATGGAGGAGGAGGTGGAAGAAGATATGGACGACGGCGTGGACTATGACCCAGAGCCAGAGGATATGCTGTTGGAGGAGCTGGAAGAGGACTATCCCAAGCATCATTTGGCACCGCTCGATGATGATGACGAAATGCTGCATGGTACTGATAATCTATACAACTCTGCGATCGATGCTTATTTGGGTGACCAAGAGGCCCTGGAGGAGGACATGGCCGACGATCCGTTTGGCGACGATGATCCCAATGATCCGGAATGGAAGACCCGCAGCGATGGATCACGCAAGCGTCTCTAATAAGCCGACCCATTAATCCAAAGCGAATAACTTCTCATTCTCTCTCGTTACCAATTCATAATTTTAACAACAACAAAAAACACACGATGTTTTGTCAATTTTAAACACAAAAAGACCCAGACACACAAATGAGATGACATGGAGCTATCGAGTATTTTAACTTGTTTTAAAAGATTTCGTTTTGTTTGTTTTGCCGTCGTTTTGTTGTCGTCCCCGCTGGGCTGATGACCGACAGCATGGTACGGCGTACTCTTAAACACTCTTCTAAGTTATTTAGTTCTACGACACACACACACACACTCACACACATACACAGAAAACTTGCGCCGAGAGGAGGAAGTAAGGAAAATGCGAAAAGAAAACTCGTCAAGCGGAAACACACACATTGTAAATAAAAAGCAGAAAAAATCTAGCGGATAAGCGAAATAATTCTAAAGAAAAAACAAAAGGAAGAAAAACCAACCAACTGTAAACTAAAATATAATCGATAATAATCGAGGATAGGTTACGATTGCGATTAAGAATCGAACACTCCCACCACTCTGGCAATAGAATGCAACACTGTCTTGTGTAACTGTGTGGGTGGTGGGTGCGTTCGGTTTATCGGCGAGAAGACAGTAGGCACTTGGGCTAAAAGCCAAAATGCGTTCAAGAATAAAGGATTTAAGCTAATCTACATATAAACAAATACACTTATAAATATATAATATACAAAGAACACAACAAACACACACACATATATATATATACCATTCAAATATATATATATATATATATTTAGATGGCGTTAGAGCAGTTTATATTAGCAGAAGATATGAAATGTAATCGCGCGCACCTGCACAACAACCAACCAACCAACCAACCCAATCCCCCCCTTAAGCTTGCTTTTACTTCATATTTGGTTAAGAGACAAAGTTATGTAAAAAAAAGAAATTATGGCAGAGATGAATCGGAAGTGGAAGTGAAGCGGATAAGAAGAGAAGAGTGTGGGGGTGCAGTGGAGTGCAGCACGAACATGTATATGTAATGTATTTAGTCGCTTAGTCGTTTTCATTTCTACTTTAAACGTTAGTAGATACTAAACAAAAAACAAACAAACAACACACACAAAAAAAAGATCAACAAGAACGGATAAATACGCCGTATAAATGTTTATTCTAATTATTTTTCCTCTCGTTAAATACTTGAAGAAAGCAAAGAAAAATATGTGAAAAATTTACTAAGGATAGCAGAAATACAGAACTCTATATTCGTAAAAATTACGAGCCAGAGATTGTGTTCTCATATATGTGTATGCATGCTCTATTTCATTGATGACTATTATTTATGGGGGTGGGCCAGATGTGGCAATTATTGTCGCCATGTGTGTTCTATCTGAGAGGACGGCGGACCATCAGTTGACGATCGACCAACGCCACGAGATGATGGTAAGAGCAGATCAGATCAGATCTTCGAAGAAAAGGCCTCTAAAGCACCTAACCTCTTTGAAGCAGATATCATTGCTATTCTTGCTGGCCATCAGCTGTACTTTCTATTGTGGATCTCCAATGCTGACTCCCAAACCGGAGCCAAGCATCAGGCAGTTGCTGGACAAACAGCAGATGAAGCTAACGCATCTAGAGTTTACACTCAGGCATGTCCTAAGCAAGGTTTTGTTTCTCACTGATGCCGATGTGCATGCCCCAAGAAGGGGGCAGCCGGATCCGCTTGTGGAGCTATCACAGCGCCTGAATCAACTGCTTCAGCGGCTGGAGAGTGAGGAGAGGGCCACAGATATTCTCAAGAGAATAGAAGCAAAAATCAATGCACCAGGATGTCAGGAGACAACTTCAAATGAGACTTTAGGGGTCAACGAAGCAGAGGTAGAGGTTACAGAGGAACCCAAGCAAAAGGAACTACCGAAATTGGGTAAGCGGGAATTTTGATAATTAAAGGAATCGCTTCGCACTCACCTGACAATCGTTCCACTCCAGATCCAATGCAACCCGCCAAGGCTGACTGCTACGAGCTGGAGGACCTGACACGACGGGATGGCATCTATCGATTCCTAGTGCCAGAACTGAACGAAGTCGGCCGGGATTTCAATGAGCGCCATTGCGCCTTCACTTTGGATGGTCCCGCCTGGACGGTGATACAGAGTCGCGGACCCTACCGGCAGCAGGAGAACTTTAATCGCACCTGGGACGAGTACCGCACGGGATTCGGTAGCTTGGAGAGAGATTTCTGGTTTGGCAACGAATTCATACACAAGATTGTCTATCGCGACGATCACATGCTGCGCATCGAGCTGGAGGATCAGGAGGGGGCGCGAGATTGGGGCGAGTACGCGGTGTTCCGGCTGGACAGTGAGAGCTACAACTACCAGTTGGTTATCGATGGATACCAGGGTTCCATGCCCGATGCCCTGGAGTACCACAACAAGATGGATTTCAGCACTTGCGACCGCAGGAATGACCACAGCCCGCGCGAGAATGTGCCCTGTGCCGTGCGCTTTGGCAGCGGCTGGTGGTTCGATAGTTGCCAGGAGTCCAACCTTAATGGGATCTTCCCAGGATCGGGCGGTTCGGGTATCATCTGGGCGGATTGGCGGAGCGGCAACTATACCTTGAAGACGGCTCGCATGATGATACGACCCGTACGCTTTGCTCCGGCCACCGCGGAGGACTTCTACGACGAGTAAACCTCGAGCACTTTTAAAATTTAAATAGAATTTATCATCATTTTGATCGCCTTTTTGATCGTTACCGATAAGTTGTTCCTCCTAATAAGCGTTACCGATAGGTATCGCAGCCAATGGTCTAAAAGTCCATCGAAAAGATGATCTAAATACTTGTTTAGTTTTAGATTTATTTTGAGCTACAATTTCTGGCTGAAAAAGAGTCTTAAAATATAGATACATATATTTCAAAATATTTGACAGGCTGTTTACTTGCATTGCATTTTTAAGGCGGTCAAATAAACTGTGTGCATTTTGATCGTATTCCACTACACTGCAAGAACAATCTAGCCTGAAGGACAATTAATATGCGTGTGCACGCATATAATCTCGGAAGACCGCTGCACACCTATAGACTGTATTGTTTGGGGCTGGTGCGCTTCTAACAGATTGATAAAAATATTAATAAAGTCATATATTTCTTTCTTTTGGTTATCCCTCTTCTCACAGTTGAAGTGTAGTGGCATAATCATTTATTTTCTGCAAGTGAACGATACATCGAGTAGACATCGATAGAACACGCCACAGCTTATCGCTGCTGTAGCACATCCCTAAGTTTATGTGCGACTAGGATAGCGATAGGCCGAGTGCAGCGCTGATTGCAGCAATTTTTCGATCAAAAGAAGTTTTTTTAATTACAAAGCAGAGCTTAACTCCGCTCTTAAAATAATTAAATTGATTGCCTGCCGCCTTGTGTTCGTTCTTCCCAACCATGGCCTATACGAATGGTTGAATATAGCGAAAGGATTTATCGGCACTGCCAATTTACAAGAACAACAACTCAAAGAACAAGGCCACTCCTTTTGTGTCCGACTCGACTCCCCGTGATGTGTGTGCGTGTTCGTGTCCGCGTCCGTGTTTGTGTATTGTAATTGAAAAATTGTGATTACTGTATGAATTAAGGCTGCAATATCGTAATAATTAAGAAAGTGGCCAGGCAATAAAAAGTGAAAATTTGCTGCGTTTTTTGTGTCTGCAGTAATAGAAACAAAAACAACAAAACTACGGTGAAGGCAACTACAACTACAGTTAGAGATAAGAAGAGCTCTCACTCACACAAACACACACACACGCTTTCAGTTACACGCGAGCAGAACAGAACGAGTGTGTGCGTGCGTGTGCCTGTTTTTATGACTCACGGCTGGGCCAGTGAGTGGGGGAGCGAGTAAGAGAGAGCGATAGTAGCTGCTGAGCTGCTTGACTACCTACGGCAACAAAACACAGTAATTTCCCAAGCAAGCTGAGAGCGTAACTAATCGCGTTTGGAAGAAATTCCAAATTCTCCGCCGGAGACAAAGGAAGAACGAGAACTGAAAGAGAGTGAAAAACCGACAGAGCACAGAAACCCAAACCGAAAAACATCACGAACATGAGTTTCGCCAAGTGGTTCAAGAAGAAGGAGCAGATCTCCGAGATCGGTGCGCCCACAAATTTCCAGCGGCACTTCCATGTGTCCCGCAACCAGGAAACGGGTGATCTGGAGGGTCTGCCCGCGCCCTGGGTGCGTCTGATGAACTCACAGATCACCCGGGACGAGCAGGACAAGAATCCCGATGCCGCCTACCATGCCGTCAAGTACTACAACTACTCGATCAAAAAGAAGGAAACCGAGGTGTTCAAGCCCTTCATCACCGAGGACGTCATCCACGAGGAGTCCAAGGAGATCGAGAACTATGTCAACTACAAGAACAAGCACAAGTCCCAGGATCCAGAAAAGTCTGATGACGATGGCAGCTCCACGGCCACCGAAACGGAAACGAGCAGCGGCTGCGGCTCGTCCACGGGGAACAGCAACAGCAGCAGCATCAACGACAGCAGCCAGCAGTCGCATGGTCCCCTGGATGGCCATGGACCCCTCGACGAGATGTTCAAGGAGCTCAAATCGAATCTGGAGCATCGCGAAACGCTGAGGGCAACGCCAGCCATTTCCAGCCAACAGGAGCCGCCGCCAGTGCCGCCCAAAAAGTCCACGCACACGATGCCGCCCAAGCCACAGATCAAGCCAAAGCCTCGAGTCACCCAGAAGTTCTCGCGTTCCTCCGACCTGCGGCGGGAGGATGACGATCACCACAAGATCAACACAGACACCATCATCATCAAGCCGGCGGCGCCGGGCCAGCATGTCGATGCCTCCGACGACAATCCCGACGAGACGATACTGCGCCGGTCCAAGGAGAAGCGGGCCCAGAAGACCGATGCCGAGATCTACATTGAACTTAGAGCCATCTGCAATCCCGAGGATCCGCGGGAGCGCTACAAGACCACCCAGGAGGTGGGCAAGGGCGCCTCCGGCATCGTGTTCATTGCCGGCGATCTGACAAACGAGGCCCAGGTGGCCATCAAGACGATCGACATGAAGAACCAGTCCTCAAAGGATCTCATACTCACCGAAATCCGGGTGCTCAAGGATTTCAATCACAAGAACCTGGTGAACTTCCTCGACGCATATTTGCTGGAGCCCGAGGACCAGCTCTGGGTGGTCATGGAGTACATGGACGGCGGCCCACTCACCGACGTCGTCACCGAGACTGTGATGAAGGAGCGCCAGATCGCCTGCGTCTGTCGCGAGGTGCTCTATGCCATCAGCTTCCTTCATGCGAAGGGCATCATCCACCGCGACATCAAGTCGGACAACGTGCTGCTCGGCATGGACGGATGCGTCAAAGTTACAGACTTTGGCTTTTGTGCCAATATCGAGGGGGACGAGAAGCGCCAGACGATGGTGGGCACCCCCTACTGGATGGCGCCCGAGGTCGTTACGCGGAAGAAGTACGGCAAGAAGGTGGACATCTGGTCGATTGGCATCATGGCCATCGAGATGATCGAGGGCCAGCCGCCCTACCTATACGAGACACCGCTGCGAGCACTCTACCTGATCGCTGCCAACGGACGGCCGGATGTCAAGAGCTGGGACAAGCTGAGCCCCAATCTGCAGGACTTCCTCGATCGCTGTCTCCAGGTGGAGGTCGATCGACGGGCCACCGCCGATGAGCTGCTCAGCCATCCCTTCCTGAACGACTGCAGCGAGGTTAAGGCCCTGGTGCCCAACATTAAGGCGGCCAAGAAGGTGCTCCGACGCAACGTATAGTTAATGTGCAATCATCGGGCGGCCAGGCTGCTCTATGCGTGATCGAGACCCCCTACAAAAGCCCGATCCCGATACCAAGCGCCACCGGACCAGCCCCTCCCTGTGTATAATGAGTTTTCAATGTAAATTTGATTTTGTGTGGAAAGAACTGAAACTGGAACAGAATGCTGATCATAGTCTTTGTAGTGTGGTAAACAGCCCCGTAAAATAGGAAAACAGGAACTGCAGCAGCACCTAGGACTTGACGAACTCCCCCGATGAAAACAGGTAAGTCGCAGTCGCAGTCCCAATCCAAATCCCTTTTTCCCAGGTAGCTTGGATTCACACACATGTTTACCCTAGTTTTTCGAATTATTCATGCGCGAACCCATCTCCATTTCAATGGAAACCTTTTTTCGCAATACCACAAATGAGGAAACATTTCATTTCGGTTTATTGGTTTCTGTGTTAGTTTTAAGTGCGTTGTTCGAAAGTTGTCAAAAAGACCGGCCAGGGCAGGCCCAAAGAGCGATAGCTTGCTATCTTGATAGGTTTAATCAGTAGCTGGAGATTACCTTACCTTAACGTCGATCAAGGTTGAACTGTGTGCACGAGGTCTGAATGTTGTTTTGGACACTTTGCAGAGGGTATTACACCTTTACCAGACGTTTGTAACAAAGGAGGAGCGGAAAAGGCTATTTCAATGCAGAAATTCCTTCATCAGACAGATTCCTGGTTTAAAAGATGAACACAGATGTAACAGTTGCTTGAGCCGGACCGGATCATCCGTCAGACCATTTTTGTTGGTGAGGAAAATAGAAACGATCAATCAAGGGTATTTAAAGGGTCGACCACCGAGAGTATCCTCTTTTTTCATAGCCCAACAGCCATCTCCCTCCCACTCTGTTGCACACTCTCCGAAATTGCTTTTGCATTCACTTCAGGCCGGAGAGGAGGAGAGCATGAGCCGTTAGTTTACGAGTACACACACATGCGAAGTGTCATTTCTTTTCGTTTGCGTACGGTATTACGTATGAAGTTTGGTTTGTTGCTGAAAGAGCAAGAAATCCCATTGAAAAATGACAAACAATACAATCAAAGAAAGAAGAGCAGCGACAGCAACAACAAAAAACAACGCAAAGTACGCAATTTAACACGCTCGTTCGCATTTCCTGTTTGGAATATCGCTTTGTCTGGCCAAAATATTATTCATACATAATAATAATACAAAAAACTTTAATTCACACACTGACACACACACTCACACTTGCAGCAGACGGACAGAAAAAACACCCACACTCTTCCGGACTTTCAGCTGAAAGTTTTCTTTCTTTTGCTTATCACACCACTCTATAAATGCTATTGTAAGTCCCCTTGGCTAGAATTTGGTGCGGAATTTATCAAATTCTTAGAACAATTTTTCGTGGCATTTCAATATATGATAAGAATAAAGGCGATCGTAAAGAGAGCGAGCAAGACTACAGAAAGAGCGAAAGTGGAGTCGTAGTAGAGTCCGTGCGTGTAAGCGTGTGGGTGTGCGTGCGTATGAGCAGCACAAAGAATGAGAGTGTGATTCTGATGGCGGCTGCTTCGTCTTCTGTCTTTCTCCATGTCTTCGTATCTCACCCTCCCACTTATTCAATTTAATTGCTTGTGCAGCAGTGGATTTCAGAGGGGAGCGAAGGGAAGGAGACAACCGTCGCGACTTTACTGCGCTATTTATACTCTCTCCCACTCCCACTTTAGACAGAGTTCTTCCCCCTCCTATCCGGAGTTCTTCCCCCTCCTATCCAAAGTTCTTCCCTCTCCTATCTAGAGTTCTTCCCCTTCGCCAGACTTCTTGCCTCTCTTGTCTGCATGCCCGTGGCTCCTCTTCTTTTTCTACCGGATCTCCTCTAGGCTCTTTATTTGTTTAGTTTACTTTTGCTTTCCGTTTTGCCTTACTCCAGTGGGGTGGGAGGCAGAGGCACACAGTAGCCGATTATCTGTCTTGTCTACTTCTTGCACACTTTAGATGCGGATATTGCGTTTTTTTGAATGCCAAGAAAATAAAAACGAAAGAAGCAGAGGAGATGAATAAGAATATTGCAAATATTGCAGTTCTTTAGGAGCGGTTGTCGGCGGCTCCTGTTCCTGGTAGTGGCGCCGCCTGGCTCCCTCCCCAGCTCCATGATGGCGGGGTTAAAGTACAATTCCACGCGTGCTAAATGTGTGTGTGTATGAGTAAGCGAAAGGGAGAGCCACTCTAGCATGAATATATTTGTATCTAAATCCCCTTCCGCAATGCCAAAACGTCTTGTATGTATTTCTCCCAGCAAAACGCCCCAAAAAATACAACCCGAAATGACTAAACCCCATTCACATTTAGTTCGATTTCGAATGGCGCCTCTAAACGATTATTTTTCACCTTGCGCAAAGGTTTCTGTGTTTTCTCCAGTATGCGTGTGTGTGTATCGTTTATTGAACCACATTGTTTGTTGTTTTTGGTGTAGCTATGCGGAATTTTAGATGATTCATTCATTATTTTTTCGGGGCTTCGCAACGCGTGTGGACTCAGAGGGCTATTTTTTTTCTTACTGCCAGACGGGGGTGTTTGTCACCCCTCCCCCCCCACACCACTCTTTATCGTGCATTCAAACAATGCAAAACTTGTGTGTTTTAGTGTAATGATTTTCAGCGACATTACAAACGGGTATTTTGTCAGAGTTTCCAATGTCTGGCAGCGGAATACTCATCCACACTCATCCATACAAACAAACACACATTCTCAGAGAGCTCTCGCATGCACATGCACTCGTTGTATTCACAATTACAGTTACGATGCACATATTTTTATAGTGCGACTCATTGGATGCTATGAATTTTATGTTTTGTAGCATGCATATGTACATGATCCACATGGACTCCACACATGCACTCCACATGACACAGGCCGATGATGGGAGGTGGATGGAACTTCTTTTGGCCGCTCCAATCGAATCTGGAGCATGCTCTCATTTGCATTCGAAGCCAACTATCAGTTAACTGTTGTTTTGTATACCCCTTGTACGAGAGAGAGAGAGAGGTTTTTATGATATTGGTGAAGACAATGCATACACGCTGGAAGCATTTCCGATCAGCATCTACAGCTAATTCTTTATTTTACCCTTCTCATTAGTTTTAATTACTATTTGGCTCATAAAAAATATCAGGTTTTAGTGGTATATTTCAAATCAAAATCGGAATACTATATATTGTATTTGTATGTACATACGTTGGTGGGTCCCCCCCCCACCCTGCCGCCCCGGCCCCCCCCCCAAGCAGCCCAAGTGTGAAAAACCAAAACCCCCAACCTTTGGTTATTGATTTGAGAGAGTTTGGCGCGGCGTGGGCGGCGGTCGGCCGAGACGCGGGGGGTAGGCCCCTAAAACCCAACAAAAGCCTGCAAAGGGTGGCGCGGCGGCCCAGCCCCAAAAGAAAAAAAAACGCCGCGTGGTGCGGCAGCGGTCACTATGCGGTCCCAGGCCCGCGTTTGGGCTAGTGCATGGGGCACGACTTCAGTTTGGAAAACGCATGTGGAATGGCCTGTGTCACAGTGACAAAATACTTTTGACTAAAGTAGTAAAGTTGTATTATTGGTAGATAAACTCAAAAGTTTGTTTGGCATTCACAGAATCCGATTACCACCTAAAATCATGAAAAAATAGCTTGGGCTGCTGGCTGGCCTTGGGCCCAGCTCATTGGCTAGTACTTCTGGCCTGGCGTTTGGTTAGTATGGTTTGAGCAAAACTGGGTGTGCATACTTAGAATACATTACATCATTACAGTTGAAATCTAAAGGATATTTTAACCAGATAATGACTTGAAACCCCATAAAAGCTTCTAGAATTGATTTTTATCGGAAAAGATCGCTTTTCCATGGCCAACTGTCCAACTGGTATTAATCTCATCGAAATCTATGAGGGAATACCAATACATTATTGCAACTGCAAATCCGTGAACCAGGCCAGTTTTAGCAGTGGTTCATGGATTATTGCTCAATCTATTGAGCGTGGCAGTTAATGACCCATATCCGGCTGGTGCAGTTCGAAATGAAAACCAAATTGTTAAAAACTAAATATTAAAGTCAGGAAACTGATAACTGAATATGTTTTTATTGAGTTGTGTTTTCAAGTTTAAAAAACCTACTATTTCATTGAACGCAATTTCATGGGTATTCTTATCTGTAAACAAGAAATGGAATTCAATGATTGCTTTCTTGGTTCTAATGGTAACGTTAGTCTATTTAAAAAGGTATCATTTGTCAATTTGGTAGCTGGAGGTTCAAAAAGGTGAAGTGATGGGTGGCTACTATCATTGAACACAATTGTATATCATTTAGCTCCCACTGAAACGATCGTGTTGTAAGAGTATTAAAGGCTTGGGGCTCCCCTCTCTTTGTCTCTCTTTCTTGTTTTGTTTTTGATTTGTCGATGGAAAACTGTGTGGAAAACTGGCGGAACAATGCCACAGGGCCCCAGTCAGAGATATGTCAGACGTTGTTTCATTGAAATTTAAGCGTGACTTTTTGAGCGGGTGTGCTGTTGCTGTTGCGCTTCACATGCTGATAAATATAAACAATTATTGCGCTGATAATTGACTCCCCATTGCTCTCCCATGGCATAACAATACCCTACACAGTCTCTCTCTCTCTCTCTCTCTGGCTGTCTGTCTGTCTCTCGTATCTGTCCGATTTATATGCGGCGCACTACGTACATAAAAAAAAAGCGAAATACAAAACTGGTCAAATGATACCAAAAGATTATGCAGATAACCCAAGGGGAGTATGGTGGGGCATGGAGGGTTAGGGCGCCATAAAAATTCAATAATGCATTGTTAATTATATTATGCAGTCGCACCTGACCTCCTATCGAACCCCACTTACAAATGGCGAAACCGCCAATGAGTGAAGCGGTCTATATTTAACAAATTCTATTTACCGCAGTACACCTAATCAGCTGTTAATATCACTGTACCACTGCTAAGAACTGATAAGCGAGGTCTCTCGCTGATAGCAATAACAAGTTGTATGATTAATACACTTTACGTGGCTGGTTACCAATACATAAGAATGTGTACACGATATACATACTGCACGGTGTATGTTCAGGGTGATGTTAATTATTAGAGGTCGAAATGTTAATTATGCCCCAATTGTTGACTTTAACTGTACTTTAACAAGTGTACAGCCCACAAATATTGATACTATCTCTTTTCTCTCTCTCTCTCTCTTGCAGCAGCAGCAGCACGTGTGACAGTCAAGAACAAACCAAATCGCCGTGCCCGCGCACTGGAGGTCTTCCTCGTCGCTGCCTCACTCTCTCATGCAGAAAAGCGAAAGGAGGGGGAGGAGTTATCGCTTAGATTAGATTATCCTATGGCAAAAAAATTTGCTTATTTCGTACATTGTAAAAATGTATGTGACCACACACACACACACTCACACACAAAGGAGCGCACACACACACATATGATATAGATATTGTATTATTAAATGTTTTGGATATAAGTTGGATTAATCTTGATACACCCGTATATATACATAATTGTGATTTAAGCGATTTTATCAAATCTGCATTATGCAATTCTACATAAAATTCGTCGTAGTCTGTAAGTTAAAACCAATCCCCGCCCCCCACACACACAGTAAAACCCCCTTGCAATACTTGTTGTAAATTACCAAAATAACAAAAAATACGAAAAAAAAAAAAAAGAAGAGAAAAGAAAAGATCGAGTAAAGCTTGAGATATAGCAAGTGGAGAAATGAGTGTAACAAGTGCCATTAGGACTAGAGTTAGCGCAGCAGCAAAGCGACAACCACACCAACACCAGAAAAACTAACTAACAAAAACAAGCAAAAAAATTATCTATACAATTAATGTCTTTGCCACAAAAAAACACAGATATCAGATATATAGCGTTACAGAGATTAGAGAGAACTAACAGCAAGCAGCATACACATGTGTATTTACTATAAATATGTATCAAGCTGATATTCGCACAATGTTCGATTGATTGTAAAATTTGTTCGATATTCCATTTTAATTAGTACAAACATAAGACTAACGACAAACAAATTTAAATTAGACGTCACCTGTTCCTCTTCTCGATCAAATATGCCATACGCACAAACAGGATAATGTAGTTCCAAACTGAATAATACGATGATAGAGCAGGAATTGAATTGTAATTCTAAACTGAACCATATGGATGATAGGAGCAGCTGATATCAGTAATGTGTGTGTCAAAGCTATACAAAAAAAACAAAAAACAAATATTAACAAAGAATATCCTTAATGAGAGTTATACATACATAGATGTGGTATCCATACACTAAACCTAGTCCCAGCGGGAAATTACGAGCAATGCCAAAAGAGTAGTAGAAGAAAGTAATCAATCAGCACCTTAGCCGAAATATATAGTTCTGTTTGGCATTAGTTTTTTTGCTTAGTTCAATTTCAATTTACTTGAAGAAGAAGAAGCTCTTTTCCCCGAACTCTAGACTATGCGCCTAACGTATGGTTAACTTTCCTTAGTTGTTATACATACATATGTATGTATATACCCATACAAGTTGTGGGTGTGTAGAATTCTTAGTAGGGATTTCTCTTTTACTTGCTATTCTGATATTAGTAGCCAATATCGACTGCGACTGCTGCTGCTGCTGCTGCAGATCGGTTCATAGATAAAATTTAATATAAAACGAAATCCCATTCATGATTTTGAAAGAGCTTAACCGATTAATTGAAAATTTACTTGATTTTCTTAGTTTAGCTTAAATACGAGTATTAATTAGGCAAGGCAAAGCAACGAACGGAAAGTATTTGATGGAAGGACGGAGAGAATGGGGCTTTATTGGAAACACGAGACATACCCGACCTTACATATTCGCAAAAAACAAAAAAACGCATTTAAGACGAAAGCAAAGATTGCAATTAATAACGTAAACGTAACAAATGAAACTTAAGTCTTACACAAAAACAAAATACAAATGGTAGCATAAATTTTTTATACGCAACTTTTATTGCAATTGTAAAGAGACGACGAGGAAGGAGAGTGAATTGAATTGAAGTGAAGTGAAGGAAGTGAAAGTAGAAGCTGAAATCAATTTTGATCGATTCGTAATTATACATAGTACTATATATACAACAAGAATTGGCGCTATTTCAATTAAAACTTAATGTAGTTCGAGACACAGAAAGCATATTAAAAAAAAAAAAAAAAATAGAGCAAGGCCATGGACATGGCTTGCCGGTAAATAAACAGTATGATAACAACTACGAAGATAACGATATCGCTTTAATGGTAGCTTCATCGTTCATCGTTACATTACGCACAAAAAGTAACAGAAAAAAATTCCACATTAAGTTTTTATGTTTTTCTACAAAATGCACACTCATATGTATTGTATTTTATTTTGCTTGCAAAAAACCTAAGTCGTAATCGTATATCCTCTACTCTTATTTAGAATTATTTTGCAAATCTAGCATTTAATTGTAATTTACGCACACACACACACACACACACACACAGAAAAAATTAAGTTCTTGTCGTCCCACCACCACTTTGATCATTGAGGATGATAATGCCGAGATGTGGCCTGCCCCTCACACCATTGTATGTATTTAGTTTAGTCCGCTGCACTGTAATTTTTATTTTGTGTTGTTAAATATATCGTTATTTACTTATTCGACCAAAGCAATAGCATTATTTTTGTGTTCGTCATATCCCCCTCCCCCTACAGCCAGAGATCCTCGCGGTATTTGCCCTGTTGACGCAGCTCCTTCAGCTGCTGTGTAGCCTCCGTCTCGTCCAGATGGAGAACGTTCTGCAGGCAGAGGCCAAGTCCGCTGGCTATGGACGTGGATATCTTGGCGCCATCGGCACACACGTACAGCACTGTATCCGGTTTGAGTAGCAGCTTTATCAGTTCCTCTGCGTCTTCCTGCAGCAACTGTTGCACGTAGGTGGGAGATTCGCCACGGGAGTGGCACATACGCAGACGCTGCAGCACTGACGACTGTTGCCAGGCTAGCAGCTTATTTCGTTTAAGAATAGCTTGCGGAGTCTTGGCGCCCACATATAGCCAGGTTTGTCCTTTGACCGGCTGCTGCTGCTGCTTCTGATGATGTTCCTTGTGGGCCAGAAAAGCGAGGAAGGGGGACAGTCCCGTGCCCACTGCAATGAGTATTTGGTTGCTGCATAGATCCTCCTCTGTGTAGCGGAAAGTATTGGTCAGACGTGGATAGATAAACACTTTAGCCGGTTGCTCCTGTTGCCGGCACTTTGCCTCCAGCATGCTGGTCGTCACGCCGGCCGTCGGACTCAGTACGGAATAGATGATGCGAAGCTCCTGTGAGCCGCTCTCCAAGGGACTATTGGCTATGGAGTAGGGACGCGGCAGTAGGCGTGGCAGATGCTCCACCAGAAACGCCAAAGGTGGCTGACAGCTGGCACACAGTTCGAGAATGTCCGTAAAGCGTAGGCCACGCTCAAGGATCAACGAGCTGTAGTGTGCTGTTGCCTGTTTGGATGAGAGGCAGGCCAGGAAACTGCGCTCCTTGGTGTCGCTGGTGTAGCCCGCCAGGGCGCTGAGAAACTGCTTCTGAAGCACTCCACTGAGAGCCAGGCAGTGGGTGAAAATCTCGCGTGGGCATGTCGAGTCCGGTATGTGAGCGGGAACCTTGGCACTCTTCTTGGCGCACTTTAAGGCGAGTTTTATTTGGCAAATGGTGTCTGCCTGATCGATCAGTCCGAGGCGCTTCAACAATTGCTCCACCACTTCGGGTGCGTTGCTGGGCAGCAGGCCGATTGTGTCGCCTGGCTCATAGTCAAAGTCGTCCGACTCTAATGTGATTTCCACCACACGTTTAGTTTCTGTCGCCTTATCGGCATCCACAAGCACTTTGCTCTCTTTTATACTAGCCGCTGTTAGCGTGCCTGTCGTCTGTGCAAATGGAAACTTTAGAATATCGCCGCATCTTCGCTGTCCGCATTTCTCCGACTTTGCCTGCAAATGACACGTTATTTTGAGCGACTTGTGCTCCTTGGACACCCTTACCTGTTTTCTGAGGGTAAAGTCCACCTCCAGGTTGCTGTCCAGCGGCTTGGCAGGGATATATTCATTTAAAATAAAGGCCTCAATGTCGGGGATTTCTATGCCCACTCCCACCATATCGCAGTCCAGTCTTTACTCGAACACACAGTTTACAAATGTCGCCGACGACGGCTGTCAGACCACCACTAGCTACTATTCGAAATGTTTCTATCGAAAAAAGCCCCGTCACTAGGTGCGCTGAGATTCGATCTATCGAAAGCATGCAAATTCATTGTTGGGAACGAAATTTCGAGTAATTTTTATACACAAATACAAGCCTCAGACAGCATGGCAGACAACGCCAACAGCGACGACGAGTTCCACGATGCGATGAGTTCCGGAGAGAACGCCAGCGAAAAGGAGGCCACCAAATCCCAGTTAAATGAGAAAGACATTGACGAGATTGTCGAGAAGCAGAGCACGCTCCAGCTGGACGATGACGAGGAAGGTGCGGCCGCCGCCGCCACTGGTACTTCCGATGGTAATGGCGACCAGGAGGTGAAACAGCCCGATTGTGAAATAAGCCTTGAGGAGTTGCGCCAGCTGGAAAAGAATCTGAGTGTCGAGGAGCTGGCGGCAAACAAAGAAAAGGCCGACAAACTTAAATTGGAGGGAAACGAGCTGTTCAAGAACGACAATGCCCAGCGAGCCATCGAAATCTACACAGAGGGCCTGAACGTCTGTCCCTCGGACAGCAGCAAGGAACGGGCGGTGCTGTATGGCAACAGAGCAGCTGCCAAAATTAAGCTGGAGTCCAACAAATCGGCCATTGATGACTGCACAAAGGCCATTGAACTGTGGCCGGAGTACGTTCGAGTGCTATTGAGGTGAGTCGGCCAGATCTAAAGTCTAAACTCTATGTGTACTCATCCGCTTACAGACGAGCCAAGCTCTACGAACAGGATGACAAGCCAGACGAGGCTCTGGAGGATTATAAGAAGGTCTATGAGATTGATCCCGGACAGCCTGAAGCACGTGAGGCGCAGATACGTTTGCCGCCCATAATCAATGAACGGAACGAGAAGCTTAAAACCGAGATGATGGCCAATCTGAAGGATCTGGGCAATATGATTTTAAAACCTTTCGGCCTGTCCACACAGAATTTCCAAATGAACCAGGATCCCAATACGGGCTCATATTCCTTTAATTTTAATCAGAAACCAAGCTAGTTAAATGTGTGCGTCTGTTAGTTTATTGAGGAAATAAAACTGTTTCCAAGATCTACAAAAAACTTAAAGCTGTTACTTGTTACTTTTTATGCAATGTTGTGAACACTGTCCCAGTCACTGTCAAAATATAGCGATATCGATAGCCGATGAAGCAACAGCTGACGCTGTTTTTTTTAGGAAAGAAGAAGAGCAATTTGTTGGAAAAATCGCAATTTGCAGATTACAAAATTAGAATCGTGTAATTAAAACCATTTGATAGCCCACTTGTATGGCCAGACGCTGTGGCGCGACTGTTACCACCTGCTGCATGAACATTTCCAATAGAAACGCGAGACGGACAACTTCGATGCTGGGAATTTGATATGGTAGCAGCAACGTCGACTGTTATTAGCTGAGTGTTATTGAACAATACACCCGCCCACGCACACTAGCTAGTCAAGGCAATGTTCCGCAGTCGAAGCTGGTTCGGCGGCCCCTGGGGCGGACGACCCAAGAATCGCCTGTCTCTGGATCATCTAAAGTACCTGTATAGCATTTTGGAGAAAAACACAACCGTGTCGGAGAGCAATCGTGGCCTGCTGGTGGAGTCGCTGCGCTGCATTGCCGAGATACTGATCTGGGGCGATCAGCATGACTCTCTGGTGTTTGAGTATGTCTCCAAACTGTCGGTTGTAATCTTGGCTAATCCTTGATCTCTTGCAGCTTCTTTCTGGAGAAGAATATGCTCTCATATTTCCTGCACATAATGCGACAAAAGAGCGGCGGCTCGAGCTTTGTCTGTGTGCAACTGCTGCAAACTCTCAACATTCTCTTCGAGAATATACGCAACGAGACGTCTCTGTGTAAGTTGCCCCTCCCTCGTAAATGTCTTTCCCAACTCCAGGACTAAGACTTGTCTTTACCCCTAGATTATCTGCTCAGCAATAATCATGTGAATTCCATAATGGTGCACAAGTTTGACTTCTCCGATGAGGATGTTATGGGCTACTATATTCTCTTCCTGAAGACGCTTAGCCTGAAGCTAAACACCCACACCATTCACTTCTTTTACAATGAGGTTTGGCCAGCGCTTGCTTTTCGCTTAGTAAGCCTCTTTTTAATGGTTATTTCTGTTGCCAGCACACGAATGATTTCCCCTTGTATACGGAGGCCATTAAATTCTTCAATCATCCCGAGTCTATGGTGAGGATTGCTGTGCGCACCATTTCCCTGAATGTCTACAAGGTGCAAAACTCCAGCATGTTGCGATTCATCCGAGACAAGTGAGGCTTTCCACTGAGCTCTCTTAGATTATAGGACTAATTGATAGTTTTCTTTCAGAACGGCAGCTCCTTATTTCAGTAATTTGGTGTGGTTCATTGGCAAGCACATCCTCGAATTGGACACCTGCGTGCGCACAGATATAGAGTAAGGATTAAGGATCTCTGCTCTCGGATCCGTACTAACTTCTCCCTGTTCTTGTTTTAGTCACCAATCCAACCAGAAGCTTTCGAACCTGGTGGCCGAGCATCTGGATCATTTACACTATCTGAGCGACATTCTGCTGCTGGACATCAAGGATCTAAATGCAGTGCTCACCGAGCATCTGCTACACAAACTCTTTGTGCCTTTGTATATATTCTCCCTGACGCCGGCGCCGCCACCGCCCTCCCTGGCGCTGGTCACCCAGAATTTGGCGGCTGTGCTGAATCGCAATGTCGACATTGATATCCAGGAAATACACAATCCACGCGTTAGTTCCATTGTGGCCCTCTTTCTGCTGTCGCTGGTCTTCCTGGTCGTCTCGCATGCCCCACTGGTGCATGCCCTGGCCTGGGTCATCCTCAATGGCGATCACAGTGTGTTCAAGGAGGGGGCTGCCGAGATTCTCAACTCGTATGTCGAGCATCGTGAGGTTGTGGTGCCGGGCTTTGGCGAACCCAACGAGAGCCTCGAACAAGCACTGGACACGGTCACGGGACAGTCCAGCGCCTCCAGCTATGCCTTGAGCGAGGACAGTGGCGTAGAGTCGTCTTCTCCAGCCACCACAGAAGTGGAGGCACAAGCGGAAGTGGATGCGGCGACCAAACTGCGCAACATCACCGATGAGGAAAAGGAACTGCTGCAAAAGTCCTCAGGCTCAGGCAAAGCTGACTTTGGGGAGCTGGCCAAACCGTTTCTGGACACAGTTCTGCATGCGTTGGACTGCACCGAGAACGATTATCTGGCTCTGCTGTCCCTCTGCCTGATCTATGCCATGTCGCACAATCGAGGTGAGGTCTCCTTCAGTTCTCGCTCTCTCTATCTCTCAATGTTATCTGTGGGCTAACTTTTCATTGCTCTAATCATCCAATTCATGCTCCATTTCAATTATTTCTTTGTGTGTCTTGAACTATCACATTGTGGTACCATGTCCCAACCCTTCAGATGGTATGTAACTTGTCCATATTTGCTTTACTAATCCATTAACTAACGCTCCGCTCTGTGGGTTAACTAATGCTTGATTGTATTTTCCTCGTTGAACAGGCATCAAGAACGAGTGGTTCGACCAGGTTCTGTCCAAGTCCACGCGTGGCTCTTTCAGCTATAAGACGGCCCTCATTGAGCACTTGTTGAACATAATCACACAGTCCAGTCAGCCGTGTAAGTATCTGATCTATCTTACTGCATCTTTCCTCCATCTTAATTGATGCCCTTTGCCCTTTGTTCAGCCTGTCGCATACGCTTGATCACTGTGGAGATTGCCCTGGAGCTGCTGGTCACCTTCACCAAACCCAGTTCGGATGAGGCGCGTTGCATAACCACGGGACAGCAGGATCTGCTGTTTAGTGCTCGCAATCAGTCGATGCTAGTCCTGCGCAACTTCTACAAGTCTGAGGATATATTCCTGGACCTATTCGAGGACGAGTACAACGAGATGAAGAAGGCCCAGCTGAACGTAGAGTTTCTATGCATGGACTCCGCTATTCTACTGCCGCCCACGGGCACGCCGCTCACTGGTATCAATTTCACCCGCCGCCTGCCCTGCGGTGAGGTGGAGAAGGCTCGTCGAGCGATCCGTGTCTACTTTCTGCTCCGTCGCACGTGCCAAAAGTTCCTGAACGAGAGGGAATCACTGCTGCCGCTGACGAATGTTGTGACGCTTGTGCAGGTGGACAATACCCTCGATCTGAGTGAGTATCCCAGGGGTTGATGGCCTGCCATGACTGACTGACTGAACTCCTTAATCTCTGCAGACAACAGCGACCTGATTGCCTGCACTGTGGTGGCCAAGGATAATACCAAACAGAGGCGCTTCCTGGTCATCGATGCCCTGCAGTTGATACTCGTTGAGCCCGATGCGAAGCTCTTGGGCTGGGGAGTGGCCAAGTTTGTGGGTTTCCTGCAGGATGTGGAAGTGCAGGGCGACAAGGATGACTCCCGCTGCCTGCACATCACCGTGCATCGCGGAGGGGTGACCCATAACCGCACGCCGCTGCTCTCCGCCAAGTTCCTGTTTGATGATCACATCCGCTGCATGGCCGCCAAGCAGCGCCTGACCAAGGGACGCAGCAAGGCGCGCCAGAAGAAGATGTATCAGATCGCGCAGCTCATAGAGATTCCCGGCCAGATGGACTCGCCCGTGTATGCTGTGGGTGGCACAACGGCGGCGCCCAGCGGCAGCAGCAGTGGGAGCAGCTCCCGTAGCGGTCACCATCGCCCCATATTCTCGACGGCCAATCGTGTGCCCGGATTCGCTGCTGTCTTGAGGACTAACAACACTGCTGGTGTTAGTCGCACACAAATGGCCCAGAATCGCTCCATCGAGGGGTAAGTCTTCAGCAAACAGAAGGAGGAATGGAACTCATATGATGTACATATCTTTTGCAGCATTCGAAATGAAAGCGCTGGACGCTCACGCCGTCGCAGTCCCACTGCTAGCTCTGGGACGACTCTGCGGGCGGACCACTCAGATCGGGACCGATCGCCCAGTGTGAGTGCAGGCAGCCACAGTTCGTCGCAGTCGCGCGAGAACTCTCAGCCACGCAGCTCCGGCAACCGATCCCGTGAGAGCAGCCCAAGGATGCCCAGGCCGCGGTACATAATAAACCCCCAATGATTCAACCGAAAAATGACTCTTGATGGGTCTTGTTTTCCTTACAGTTCGGAGGAGATACCACTGGAGGACTTCCAGCACTCGCGAAACAACAGCCCACACTCGCGGGGCAATGGTTCGCCCGCCTCCCGTTCGCATACACCCAGCCGGGTGCTCCACTACGAGATATCTGTCCACAGTGGATCGCCCCGAGAACCGTCCCTGGTGGGCACGAATGCCTTGTTGAGCCAACTGAATGGTGTGCCTCTGGCCCGGGAAGTCCTGCCAGTCCAAAGCTCCGAGGAGACCTCATTTATAGGCAACGATGCGACGGACGGCGGAGGTGCAGGCAGTTCGGACAGCAGGCGAAAGGGCGCCATAGAAACGGTTTAAATTAGTTGTATTAGTTTTAGTATTAACGTTTAGATTGTTGCTAACATTTTATTATTCCAATTGATTGATATGGTGGCACATGCTATAATTATTTTTTGATTAAAATCGTTAAAAAAATAAAAAGTTAAAGGAGATGGATCTCCAATCAATCCCCTGACGGTAGTAAAATAGATTAGAAATTCAACGAATATTAGTATTTTAATCGTACTTATATTCGACTGATCTCAGCACTAGTGGCTCGACGACGACGTCATCAAAAACAGCTCCATCTGCAGCTTTAGCTCCATGGTGGGGTATAGTCCGCACGGCGGATAATATCCCCTCCGCTAAAACGATCCAATTAGTATCGTCTCGACACCGATTAGTATCGTCTTATCGACCCGATTAATATCGTCTTTGGGTTTCATCTCTGCCACAATTTGAGAAATACGACGGATTCCACGGAAAAATAGCAATAAATTTATAAAAATCAAGGAGAATATTGGCTAGAGATGTCCCACAAGTACACGGAGCTCATTAAGCTCGGCACGCAGTATGCCCGACGCATGAACTACCTCTCAAATCGCATTTTCGGTGAAGTGGCCCGCACCACCAACGAAAAGTCCATGAAGGTTTGATAATAACGATTTGATAACGAATTCAACCTCTTAATGTGCCTCCCAGGTGGTTCGCATGTTCTCCGAGGAGCCCATCCACAAGCGGGATTATGTGGTCAATTGGTATCCCCGGCACGTGGAGACGCATCTGCTAATGAAAAACCTGCGAGACTATGGACTGTTCCGTGACGAGCATCAGGACTTCAAGGAGGAAATGAAACGTTTGCGGAAGCTGCGTGGCAAGGCGGCGCCCAAGAAGGGCGAGGGCAAGCGTGCCTCCAAGAAGTAGACATAAATAAATACACAAAAACAATCTTTTTATTAATCAAAATAAAAACCTAATCTGTGTGGTTGCGGGTCAACAATTTGGCATTGCCCGCAAAGACAATTTCATCGTTTTGCCGACAATCGTATTCGGCGGTGGAGATTTTCCGTGATACCAGCAGGCGCACCGTCACCACGGTGTCGGTTTCTAAGCGGCAGGGTTTCAGGAATTTGAAGCTCTGCTCCAACACCACAGTGCCCGGTCCAGGAAGTTTGGTTCCCATAATTCCGGCCACAACGGCGTTCAGCAGAGCTCCGTGCACTCTTCGCTCCTCCACGGGCATGTCCAGGGTGTGAATGTAGTTGTGGTCACCCGTAAACTGCGCAAACTGCTCCAGATCCTGCTGGGTGAAGCGCTTAACCACTTGGACCTGCTGCAGATTGGCTGCTGGTGCACGGCTGCTCAGGTGCCGGTAAAACGGGCGGAACATTTTGTAGCTCGATTATTTCAGTGCGCCGAGCAAAGTCTTCCAGCAACAGTTGGCAGAGCTTAACAATGCGTTGGTCGTGGGACTTTTGCCGCCACTCTTGCACTCCCTTGAGCAGTGAGGGGGTCAGCAGCAGCTCCTTGTCGACCTGGCCGGCGTTCAGCAGTTGCCAGAAGAGTGCCAGACTATGGAGAACAATTTCCGGGTGATCGGTGCTCACAAACAAGCCGCTGATAATGCTCAAATGTTCCCTAATGAATTCGGCTGCAGTTTTATCTGCAATATAAAGAAAATATGTTATATTACGTAAATAGAACTGTTTCCTTGTCCGTACCCAAGCAGATGTTGCAGATTGCCGCAATTCCATGCAATTGAAGATTCTGATTTTGGGTTTTTAGCGATGCTATAAACACTTCGAAGGCCTCTGCTTCGTGCAGATGCGGCCAGTTGATCGGATCGTAGGCAAAATTGGCCAAATTCGCAGTGACCTGCTCCAGAGCCTCTGCAGAACATCCGCGAAAGATGAGATAAGAGTTCAAACAATGCGGGAATGCGGGACTCACCGACGTTTGTGGTCGTGTAGTATTCATCAACCAAGTGGCCAATATACTCCCTACGATCTATACCCTGGTCGGGTGTCCTTCTTTTCAAATGGCGATGGCTGGAGAACATGGAAAGGGAGCAAATTCTTTTGTTTTTAATTTAAAACGATGACATTTTTCCATTCGACGGCATCGATAACAATTATCGAGAAGAAGAAGCACAGAGCCCGCTACTATTTGAAATAGATTTTATTAAAGAAATTTTAGTTATTATAAAATGTATAATTTTGAATCATCTGTAGGCTGTAGAAAGTGTTTATAGATATCCTCCGACACTCTAACTATCCTGTTCTGCCTCTCCTCGAAATGTGTTGTCGGAGGTGCTGGCAAAATCTGTGTCATTGGAATTGCTAAAGTGGCTGATAGCTGCCGCCACGGACTTTGGTGGGATGTTGAACAGTGGATGGGTGGGTAGAAGTTCGTTGATGGTGTCGCCCAGGACTTGTGGACAACTGGCGGACTCCGAGTGCTGGGCAATGGAGACGCCGCTTAGGGTATAGCATGTATGATAGAGATCTTGAGGTCTGCAAGCGAGAGAACGTTTAATTTGGTGGCAAATTGTTGTGTCTTGGGGATCACTTACTTTCCGGGCTTGTCGATCAGCCCTCCGTTTTGCTTCTGGCAGCAGATCAGGATGTATTCCTGCAGAGCCTCAACATCAAACAGAGTGTGTTCCATCTCCTTATCGCCGCCGGAGAGCGTCGCCTGTGTTATGGGTATGGTGGCACCCACCCAAAAGGAGTAGCAACCATCGACCAGTTTATTGGTTCGACCCTGGAACCCTCCCTCGTAGCTCATCTGACGCAGCAGTGTCCAATGGAGCAGCGCCTTCTTGTTGCACTTGTGTGCCTCGTTCAGCAGCGCCAGGCCTGCGATGCCACAGAATGTGTAGCCCCCATGGGCCTCCAATTCGGGAGCACCGCCGAATCCTCCCTCGTACGTCTGGCACTTGGCAATCCAATCACCAGTGCCGGCGAAAAGCTCTTTCATCACCAGATCGGGAAGGTTCAGCAGCTTGGCGCAAGAGATGGCACAGTACGCGCCGCGCACATCTGTCTCCCCATCCACATGGAGCCGGAACGAGCCATCCGGCTGGCGAACACTGAACAGAAACTGCACAAGGGTCGGACGATCGATGGCGCGATAGGCGTTCTTGGTGCCAATGATGCAGAGGCTGTTGACCGCCGCATATGTGGGCGCCAGGTGGGCGTACTGTCCTGGTCCGCCACCAAATCCGCCCGTTGGGGCTCGGCAACTGGGAAGAGGAGCCAGAATTGAATCAGATAGTCAGGTGGTGGAGATCAATAAACGTACTGGCTGAGAAACTGTACGACCCTATCGAGGGTTTCATCGTCAAAGTTGAAGCTTAGCAACTGGGCCGCCTGCAGTATCCAATAGACGCACCACGGCCGACTGCTATCCAGGCACTCGTAGTTCGAGGGCAGCCGGCGCAGCATTGCATCCAGATAATACTGGTGCTCCAGCCGGAAAAACTGGGTGAGCCGTGGATGAGTAGACTGTAATTCCTCGAACCGGTCGAAGCATTTCTCCACCGAACACTCTGTTTTTTGCTGTAAACACACACAATCCAGTCAGTTCTTATCAACCGCCTTGGACGCGATTACTCACCTGTTCCCTGGACGTGGTGGTCGAGGACTTCTCGTCGTCCAATTTGTAGCTCTTCAACTGCTGGAAGTTGCGAAAGAGTAATTCGTCCTCGGAATACATGCTTCCGTTGGTTGTTAGTAAATTTTTGTAAATTAAATGATATAAATAAAAATAATTGTGATTCTGGGCAGAGTGACAGCGCCGATAACGATAGAAAATACCATCCGGCCAAAAAATAAATACCATTAAATACCATTTCAGTTTATTACCCTCATGGAATTATACTAATATGAAGTCGATTATGAATTATATTTATTTATATTATATATTTTATATTTTATTAATTTCCCATATGTGTACATATAAAACAAAACCACTGAAGAATGTAGATTTATGTTCCTGCAGGTGTTTAACGTGTTTATGCAATTCACTGGAGAACAAAGGAAAACAAAACACTTTAAAATATTGAAATCAATAGGAAAAGTTCTACAACACAATATTCAATCGATCAAGGCGAGCAAAAATGATTTAGAGTTCTAGTTAAACAATAAAAACGTCAGCATCGCTATTTTTGCGGATGTTTTTTCACATGACCTTAGTTTTAGAAAAATGGCAAATTATAACTATAATAGAAAAACATAGACAAGATGGCTACGGAGGGGTGGCCATTGCCTAAAAAAGGGATATAAAACATAAAAGACTGAAATTTGGGACTGAACAAGACATAGTAATATCAAACACTATTGAAGACGGTCAAAATATGGTCATCTCTGTGTATTTCGAACTCCTGACATCGCTCATCACTTTCAAGCAAATAATACATAGTCTTTTGGACAGGCTTGATCCATTCAAGAGTTACATCATTGCAGGTGACTTCAATGGGAGACACACTGGCTTTGGTGATTCAGTAAATAGTAGAATAGGGTCCTTTTTAAGGCAGGCAATGCACATTGCTGGGCACGTGCTTGCGAATGACAGCAGCGTTACCTTCAGGAGAAACATTGATTGCAACACAGGATTGGTTTTGGACTTGACCTTTGTGAAGGGAGTCAAAATAGAGAAATGGAAGTGTGAGAAGTTTTTTCTAGGGGGTAGTCATCATCCTATCCTATCTGTTTTGAGATTGCAGGAAAACAAGAAAAGACAAAAAAGTTTCTAGCCAAGAAAGGACTATTTCAAAAACTAGGGCAGATTGTGATAGATGGTAAAATAGAAAAGCTAGCCAAAGATAGACTCATGTATGAGATGTTAAATGCATTAAACAGTGAGACAAAGGTAGCGTTAGTTAATTTTTTAAATCAAAAAAATATCCAAATGTGACTTTCCAGTGGAGATCCATAAAAAATCAGATATACAAAATTTCCGGCCCATATCCTTGATATAAGTCCTGGAAAAAATCATTAATGGTATTATAAAGAACAAGCTGGAAAGAAACATAAGTGAAAATGATATACTACCATACAGATCTTATGCATACCAGAAAAATAAATCTGCTTCAATGTGCATCAACGATGTAATTAACGTTATTGCATCAAGAAAGAAAAATAAGGAACATGTTGTGTTGGCGTCAGTGGATCTGAACAGTTAAAGATAAAGATAATGAGTTGCGGGTCTCTTCCTGGAGGAGATGGGGGAAGAAACTAAAAATTAATTTCTTCATTCTCGCTATAAAATTTGTCCAATCTGGATCAGATTTGGCATTCTGATAGATATGGTAATTTTCTACGATACTGCGTTTTGAATTATACCCGTACTCAAAAAGAGTTAAGGAGTATTGTTGAGCTACTGAGCTTCTTCAGGGCCATCCGGCGATCAAACGAGACTTAACACACATAACCCCCCCTCCATTTAAACAGGTAAACAGTTTGAAAATAATATGTACTTTTTGAAAATGATCCTGGTAGGAATACAATAATTACAATAATAATATGATGACCCGACTTGTTAAAAGTCGACGGCCATATCCGGTTACAAGATAGTTAAAATAAGGGAACTATAAACGGTGTGACATTAAACTCTCCGAGGTAATGATTTCAGTACGATTTTCATCCTGCTTCGGCCTTAGTTTCTTTGCCAATTGCTCGGTTGTCGTCTCGGACTTCCGGATATGGCCCACCAGTTCGAGGAAGCCATAGACCAAAATACACACAAGCAGATATGCCACAGTCGTGATGGCTACCTGAAAGACAACTGTCAATAAGATCTGAAAACAGTTGTTAAGCAAACATTTGATTTTGGAGGCGCAAACTCACAATTCCAAAGCTCCTGAGAATCACCAACAGCAATCCAGTGGAGTCCACCTCGGCGAGCCATGTCAAAAGGGGCTGTGATCCGGATGAGACGCTGTCATCCGCTGCCGGGGTGGATTCATCCCTGTATTCCTCCAGACTCTCTTCGCCCCAGGTGTCGGCTCGCAGAGGCAAGTACCAATCGTAGTACAACTGCTGTAGCAGCGACATCTCAGATGTTGACTTTTTCCCGACCTTCCTGTCACTGGACTCTGGAACATCTGGGGAAACGCACTCGTGCAGACTCTGAAAACAATTGTTGAAATCAGCCAAAGATCGCCGGCTGGATGCCGAGCATTTCACGCTGTTCGAAGGGCAGGTGGCGGGCGGCGGTGTTGTCGTAGGAGTAGGTTTTTTGCACTTGGCCTTTGGCTGGGGGGCTGGCTTGGCATATTTGCACTATGGAAAAGATAAAAAAATAAAGAATAAATAAAAATAAAGATTGATACACTTCAACCCTTAATTCAAAGGCCCCGGCGAGATTCGAACTCACGATCTCCTGTTTACTAGACAGGCGCTTTAACCAACTAAGCCACGGCGCCATGTGGCCATGTTGTGAGAATTATGCAACTTGTATGGACCACTTGTCATGCATCAAACTTGTATGTAGCGGCACCTAGACGTTTAGTAAGCGAACTAAAGATGGATTGGTTAGTTGCACTGAGCTATGCTAGGTGGCGCTACCGCCACCTTAAACAGGGTTACAGGGCTAATAAACGCTTTTAAAAATTATCCGTTCTTAGAGAAAATTTGTTAATTAATCGGATAAAATTAATATGCCTCAATCTCTATCTTTCAATGAAACACGAACAGGACAACGAAACAACAGAAGGCAGCAATAAATATGTAGTCTGTACTCACCCCAGGAGGAGGTCGCAATTCCAGAATATTCTCTTCAAATTTTCCCTGCCTGATCTGCTCGAGCTCCTCCTCCGTTATGAAATTGTTGGGATCCACACATTCATTTCCATAGTAGTCATAGTACTCGCCGGGTTTGGAGCACGACGGGACCGGCTCGCACTGCTCCGTGGTGTAGTTGTAGAAGCTGCGCTGGCCAAAGTAACGCTCCTCACAGACGACGGGCAGGCAGTTCATAAAGTATTCCTTGTCCCAGTTGTTGCAGGGAGTAAAGTCCTTTCGCCTGCGTAGTGTACGATTTTGGGGGTCCAGGGTTTCGAAGCGGGTGTCAAAGTGCAGCAGTTGCTTGGTTGTAGCCGGCTCGATCGAGGGATTCAAGGCACAGATCGTGATGGGACAGTAGCCCACACGATTGTACAGCGACTGTTGTTGGTGGGTGGGGGGTGGAGGTTTAAAGAGGATTTTCTATTTGGGATTTGAAATACAGACCACAGTGGGCCACACAAGGGAAACGGTTTCACTTTTGCCCGGCTCCACGCTCCCAAAGTTACCCCCATAAATGGGACCCACTTGGACCTTTTCGCCATTAGTGGTATTCACCGTACATGGCCCATCCGAGGACACAATCAAGTCCAAAGTTAGCTTCGCCTCGCCGTTGTGGCGATTGGTAACCGTCATGTCTGAAAACCGTCATGTCTGGAACTGATCAGTGAGTCAAGAATCCGATGATGTCCTTACCAAAGATCAAACCAATGTCGTTCTCTCGCGGCACGCGCACTATCATCTTGGTAATGCATAGGTCTCCACAGATGCTACGGCTGTTGAGTAGAATGAAGTGAACCATTAGATATTTGAACATTTTTGTGACTGAATTCGCTCGGGGACTGTGAGGGGACTGGAAAAAGGGATCGTACATAAGCTACTCGTTATAAAGAATGTCTGAGCATGGTGCTTCAAAGATTAAATTAGAATAAAGTTTAATTTCGACTAAGATGGTAGAGAATTTCAAGGATCTTGAGAACATTTTGTGCTTGCCCCTTTTTTATGCCTATTTGGATCAGTGGATAATAGTAAGTTAATTCCAATCGATAATGAAGGTCTACAGAATGCTTACCGACCTGTAAAAGAATTCCTTGAATATTACAACCCCATCCGTACCTCATTCAAGACCCTGCACCATCTCCACTTGCTCCGTCCAAAGGGGTTCGGTTCGCGATGCAGAGGATCCCTAATGGCTCCTCGCTGTTTAATTAAGTGTAATTTTAGTGCCAGCACAACCCCTAAGACTGGTCCTGGTCCTGCGTGGACCTCGTCCTGGTGCTGGTTGCTGTACATGGGGCAAGTTTTCTGCATCCATTGCAATTTATGTTTTAATCATCAAATGCGACCCAATTAATCAACGTTGCTGGGCTTAATTTATGCGGCGGAACAGTGTTTTGAAGTAACCCGACTCGACATCACACGACAGGTGACATTTCCCAGCAGAAGCAGAGAGAAGCACTCGAAGAGATCGGTGGCTATATGTATGTATATTGCATATTCATAGGATTGAGCCAGTCAGTCGTACAATAATTTATTCCGAAAATTCAAAACTAATTTGACAGGAAATAATTAATTTGGGATCGAAAAAATGCCAAAAAATAAAAGTGCTGCCAGCCAGCAGTCCCAATTAAAATTATTTCGCTTTCATTACTACCCAATGAAGCAGCCGTAATAAAAGTCTTAACCAAAAAAAAAAAGAGAGAGAGACAGACCACAACACAGCAGCGGCAGCAGCAGCAGCAGCAGCGGCTGCAGTTGGAACAGCAGCAGCACATCCAATCCCAGAGACAAAGACAACGAAATAAAAGGCGAAAACTAAGCAAAAAAGTTTAAATAATGAAATCACTTCGCACCATCTCGAAATTGCTCATTAACATTTTGTGTTTGCGATATCAACTTGTGAAAATCACAGGGCCAGCAACAGACTCCGGCTCCGGACTCCAGGCCCAGGCCCAGGCCCAAGTCCCAGCAAAGACCAGACACTACCAGACCCAGACCCAGATGCAGACCCAGACTCTTAGGCAGCACCAGCTACTTGGCTTTTATTTATTATGCCATGTGGTTTTTGTTGGTAGTACTGTTGCTGTTTCTGCTGCTGCTACTGAAGCTGCTGTTGTCTCTTGATGTTGTCGTTGTAGCTGACTCTTATTAGTTGGGTCAGTCTGTCTCCTCATTTTTTTTTCGTTTTTTTTCCTCCTCCAAGTTGGAGGAGGTGTGAAATCTGTTGTACTCTCCGTTCGACTGTCCTCTGGCCGGACGTCCAAGCGCTGCAAGCTCCTGGGCTGTTTTCGTCTTCGGGTCGTGATTTGTCTGCAAAAGACACAAACAACTTCTTGGGGCCTTAGCAATTTTTCTAAAGGTCGTTTGCTCTGTCTTTACATTTGCCTTTACTCAATGAAATTGGCTCAGGTCCCCCAAAGGACACTGTGAGAAAAGGGGTTGGCAAAGAAGTTTAGTAAGCAGGAATTGTAACAATTCTCGTTTCCTCCAATTCTTTCGCCATCTAAAGCTAAAGAGCTTCAAAAATGTGTAATCGATGCAAATATGTAAATGTTTTCTGGTCTTTCTAGGCTTCCAACTCTAGCATATATTCTCCATCTTACTTTGTTATCAGAGATCATTCATTACCATTACCATCCATTTTTCTGTATATGGCTAGATCTCTTTGCCTATCCATTTCAATCTTCGGCATTAGGATCTTCCCATTTTATTCTTTAAATTAAATTTATTTCGATCCTTTAGATAATAATTTCCTTTGTTACCATACTTTTTCTCTGCGTGCATGGAGCATCCCAGCAAAAAACTGAAGTCAAAGTCAGAGATAAGGCCCCGCATTGAGTCGGGTGTATTTCAGTAGCCATTCGATTTATGTTAAATAAGCTGGAACGCAAGCTCTGTTTGTTGTAAAATACCAATTGCCGGAGACAGAAAGAGAGAAAGAGTGAGAGAGAGTTGCAGTGTGAGAGAGGTATAAATATATAAAAAGAGATGGATAGAGAGGTGTGCGAGTGGGAGAGAGATTCTTTTGGGGATTCACGTTTCTCCTTCATCCGTTGTAGTCGCTGGATTTTCTTGTTGCTGTTGTCGTTGGCACTGAATCAGATTTCTTAATTTAATTGGCTTTATGCAAGAAATTCTTCTCGCTTTTCTTAGCCTGGCTCCGATTTTTATAGACAAACTGTCTGCCGTGTACCTTCATGTCCAGCTGCAAGTCTATGTCCAAGTCCTGCTACTGGTACTGCCTCTGTGGCCCGGCCTCATTTCATCCTCCATCCAGCAGAACGTGGGAATCATCATCATCTAGCTGTTTGGGTTTGTGGTGTGTGCCTGATGCAAATGCAAAACAGCTTAACCCAATTTTTTGTTGTTTCTACACCGCACAGAAACAATAACAACAAAAAATAAATCAATAAAAAGAAACAAAAGAAAATTCAGCACGTAATTGCAAGTTATGAGCAGTAGTCTGGTGGCCAGAATAAAATGAAAATCGTTGAAGTTTTCCATCATCGCGTGCAGCGTTTTAAGAACAATTGCTGGGCATTTAAGCATAAATGCAGGCGAAAAGTTCGCGTCTCGCGGTGAATAGAAGTTATACCTGGTACTCGTTGGGGATGAGGGTATATACTGTAATCATCCAATGCGTTTCAGATGCCACACATTGGATATATTTCTTCTATAGTTCTTGCTCCCAAATGCACCCATCGCTTACACATAATGCGGCCCATTGACGCTCGACTCGGACGCACAAGCGAATTCTCCAAAGGAGAATCCTCGGGAATGTCAAATTCAACTGACGCGGCATATCGATGCTCGACTTCGCTGAGAAGGGTTTTTGTGGGACTGCTCCCAAATTGAGAAAGTCTGCTCACCAATGGATTAGGAGGTATCATACAGTCGAAATATGTACCACATCTTTCTTAGTGACTCTCGTTAGTGTAAATCGGTGTACACTGTACAGTACAGTGTGTGTGTGTGGGAGCCAGTGCGATTGTGTGGGACACTTAATCATCAGCGTGAAATGAAGAGAAAGAAATGCCCGAGACGAGGCCAATTGTGCATTTGGCTTCCACTCTCCACACTTGTACTCCATTGTGTATGTGTATATGTGTGTGTGTGTGTGTCTGTACATATATAATTAAGCCATAAATTCTGTTTTTATGATTTTCCACAAAGTTATGAATTTATGAGGAGCACACAAACCACTCACTGCACTGCACTGGCACCGCCACTGCCACTGCCACTGGCGCAGTGGTGCTCACATACATAAACAATAATTTGCGGGAAAAACGGAAGTGGAATTTAAATGCGCGCGCATGCGAAATGGAAGCCTCTACTCCTCCTCATCGCTCCCCTCCCCATCTCTATCCAGTGCATCCAAGATCCATCCAATCGTAGGCACCGGCACCGGCCCCGGCCATGTTTGGGCCATAAATGTCGAGCACTTTGCCCAGACCTCGTAAATTTAACGCTTTTAAGTTTTATTTCTTTTAGTTTTTGCTCTCTTTTTCGCTCTCCCTCTTGATGGATGGCCGATGGGCCCAGGGGTGCCCAGGGGTGCGGTAGAGGGGCCTAATAAAATTTAAATATTTATTGTACTCTATATTTTGTTGCCATGCAAATTTAGCTAGGGTCCAAAATTTATATAAGGCTATCCATTTTCGTGGTCTCTTCTTCGCTTTTGCAAAAAAGTACACAAAATTTCCAGTATTAATTACGTAAAATTGTGGACTGTCGCTGGATATTACGGGTATGAATATCCCCCCCAACAGAGTGAGAGAGAGGAGGTGGAGAAGGACTCCTCACTGGGTCAATTAGCATAATCGCTTTTGAAATTGCGAACCGAACGTTGAAGTCGAGTACCTTGAGGCGCTGCAACTGACGCGTATCTTGACGTTCTTAATCGCTCCCTCTGCCATCGCCATCGCCATCGAGACTCGAGGGTTGTCAAGATCGTACAGTTCTCGATATATGTACCTTTTCATATAAATTAGTAGTTTGGGGGCCTGCAAAGAAAAAAGAACAGTATTAATATAATAATTACGGCAATTACGCAAAATGCTCATGAGTGCTCGTGTCATGGCTGCTTCCTAATGCGAAAATAACGTCATTAATTTTGGGCCAAGCAGCGAGAGCCGGTCGGCTCTATTCAATATGATCTAGCCCGCTTAACTGAGTTGAAAACTCTCCACCGCTGGGGTGGATAATATGCAGTGCAATGCAATTAGTATAGCCCTTTTATAGGTTTCAATCTCTGACCGAATTTTTCTTTACTCTTTTTAGAGCTATTGAAGTGGGGGGGACTAGATCTTGGGGCTTTTAGTTATGTTGAACATCGATATCAAGCAACGATATTTTTAGTTAAATCAGCGATCGATCTTTGGAATACATTTGGGTGTCTTATCCCTGAGCATCAAAAACGTCTGGAAATTCTATTTAACAGAATAGAATTTATATATGTTCCAGAGGATATATTTTCGATAAAAACAACGATGTTTCCACAGCTTTGTGCATCGATTTCGTCTGGTTTTAATTTTAACGAACGATTAAATCTCATCTTTAATATAGATATACCATAACTAAAGATGGGATTTATATTTCTGGGGATTTCTTACTCTACTCTTGACTAATGCCAAGTCTCAGCATTGATACCCATGACCCATTTATATGTAGCGTATAAGAAAGTCACCTTTTTGTTGGCTGTCCTGTAAAATATCCCTTGTCAAGTATCCTTTCTCCCCAGGATATTCAGAATGACTTGTCGCTGGTGGTGCGGCATGCGCTAAATGCAGCAGGTGCAATTTGGGGCGACACTGAGACGTCGCAACTTCTTCAACTGATGATCGTTGACGCTGTTCTTGTTTTCATAAAATTGCAATATTAATGCGGAAAATCTTTGGGGAGGGAGCAGCAGAGGCAAGGTGTGCACCGGGCCATCAATTGGTGCACCTTCGTTTGCCTTTTTTTCGTGTGTGCGCGCCTTGAGAGCCGCTCTACATACTTGACATTGATGCAATTTCATTTGCCTGGCAGCTGACTGTAATCTACCCCTCTCCGGCACTACCAACTCCTCTCCCAAAGCCGTACTTAGTCGCAGCAATTAAACGAGATTAAATCGCCAGCGCAAAGCTGCTCAAAATGGAATACCAGAACAGAAAACAGAAAAGAACAGAACAGTCGCTGCAGTGTGCTGGCCATGCTCATGCCCGGCTCGAGTCGCAATTATATTTGAAAATGCAATAAAATATGGCCAAAGCGCAGCAACAAAGCGCAGCTCAATTTGCATAAATATTTGCTGTTGTACAAAGAGAACTAGCTAACAATTTCATTGTTGCCACTGAAGAGTGGTTTTGGCTTGGATCAGTGTGTGTGTGTGTGTGGCAAGGTGAGACGAGCCGAGCCGAAGGCATAAATTACACTCATGGCAAGGCAACGAGGTTGGGGCAGGTAGGAAAGAGCTTATCTTGGAGGCGAAATTAGCTGATAATATGCAAAACACGTCAAGAAATTGCAGCCTAAGCCAAATATCCAAATTATTACCCTTGGACAAATCAACACGAGCATGCGCCCCCGGG